CCTGTCTCTGCCCTGTCTCTGCCCTGTCTCTGTCTGTCTCTGCCCTGTCTCTGCCTGTCTCTGCCTGTCTCTGCCTGTCTCTGCCTGTCTCTGTCCTGTCTCTGCCCTGTCTCTGCCTGTCTCTGTCCTCTGTCTCTGCCTGTCCTGTCTCTGTCCTGTCTCTGCCCTGTCTCTGCCCCTGTCTCTGCCCTGTCTCTGTCTCTGCCCTGTCTCTGCCTGTCTCTGCCCTGTCTCTGCCTGTCTCTGCCTGTCTCTGCCCTCGTCTCTGCCTGTCTCTGCCCCTGTCTCTGCCCTGTCTCTGCCTGTTCTGCTGTCTCTGCCCTGTCTCTGCCCTGTCTCTGTCCTGTCTCTGCCTGTCTCTGCCCTGTCTCTGCCCTGTCTCTGTCCTGTCTCTGCCCTGTCTCTGCCCTGTCTCTGCCTGTCTCTGTCCTGTCTCTGCCTGTCTCTGTCTCTGCCTGTCTCTGTCTCTGCCTGTCTCTGTCTCTGCCTGTCTCTGCCCTGTCTCTGTCTCTGTCTCTGCCTGTCTCTGCCTGTCTCTGCCCTGTCTCTGTCCTGTCTCTGCCTGTCTCTGTCCTGTCTCTGCCTGTCTCTGTCCTGTCTCTGTCCTGTCTCTGCCCTGTCTCTGCCTGTCTCTGCCCTGTCTCTGCCTGTCTCTGCCCTGTCTCTGCCTGTCTCTGCCCTGTCTCTGCCCTGTCTCTGCCCTGTCTCTGCCTGTCTCTGCCCTGTCTCTGCCTGTCTCTGCCCTGTCTCTGCCTGTCTCTGCCCTGTCTCTGCCCTGTCTCTGCCTGTCTGCCTGTCTCTGCCTGTCTCTGCCCTGTCTCTGCCCTGTCTCTGCCTGTCTCTGCCTGTCTCTGCCCTGTCTCTGCCTGTCTCTGCCCTGTCTCTGCCCTGTCTCTGCCCTGTCTCTGCCCTGTCTCTGCCCTGTCTCTGCCCTGTCTCTGCCTGTCTCTGTCTGTCCTGCCTGTCTCTGCCCTGTCTCTGCCTGTCTCTGCCCTGTCTCTGCCCTGTCTCTGCCTGTCTCTGCCCTGTCTCTGCCTGTCTCTGCCCTGTCTCTGCCCTGTCTCTGCCCTGTCTCTGCCCTGTCTCTGCCTGTCTCTGCCTGTCTCTGCCTGTCTCTCTGCCTGTCTCTGCCCTGTCTCTGCCCTGTCTCTGCCCTGTCTCTGCCCTGTCTCTGCCCTGTCTCTGCCCTGTCTCTGCCTGTCTCTGCCTGTCTCTGCCTGTCTCTGCCTGTCTCTGCCCTGTCTCTGCCCTGTCTCTGCCCTGTCTCTGCCCTGTCTCTGCCTGTTCTGTCTCTGCCCTGTCCTGTCTCTGCCTGTCTCTGCCCTGTCTCTGTCCTGTCTCTGCCCTGTCTCTGCCCTGTCTCTGCCCTGTCTCTGCCTGTCTCTGCCCTGTCTCTGCCCTGTCTCTGTCTCTGTCTCTGCCCTGTCTCTGCCCTGTCTCTGTCTCTGTCTCTGCCTGTCTCTGCCCTGTCTCTGCCCTGTCTCTGCCCTGTCTCTGTCTCTGTCTCTGTCTCTGTCTCTGCCTGTCTCTGCCCTGTCTCTGCCTGTCTCTGCCCTGTCTCTGCCCTGTCTCTGCCTGTCTCTGTCCTGTCTCTGCCTGTCTCTGTCTCTGCCTGTCTCTGTCTCTGCCTGTCTCTGTCTGTCTCTGCCCTGTCTATGTCCTGTCTCTGTCCTGTCTCTGCCTGTCTCTGCCTGTCTCTGCCTGTCTCTGCCTGTCTCTGCCCTGTCTCTGCCTGTCTCTGCCTGTCTCTGCCTGTCTCTGCCTGTCTTCTCTGCCCTGTCTCTGCCCTGTCTCTGCCTGTCTCTGTCTCTGCCTGTCTCTGCCCTGTCTCTGCCTGTCTCTGCCTGTCTCTGCCCTGTCTCTGCCCTGTCTCTGCCTGTCTCTGCCTGTCTCTGCCTGTCTCTGCCTGTCTCTGCCCTGTCTCTGCCTGTCTCTGCCTGTCTCTGTCCTGTCTCTGCCCTGTCTCTGCCTGTCTCTGCCTGTCTCTGCCCTGTCTCTGTCCTGTCTCTGCCTGTCTCTGCCCTGTCTCTGTCCTGTCTCTGCCCTGTCTCTGCCCTGTCTCTGCCCTGTCTCTGCCCTGTCTCTGCCCTGTCTCTGCCTGTCTCTGCCCTGTCTCTGTCCTGTCTCTGCCCTGTCTCTGCCCTGTCTCTGCCCTGTCTCTGCCCTGTCTCTGCCCTGTCTCTGCCTGTCTCCAGTGTGCAGGTCCATGGGTTTGTATCTGAACATCTTCCAGTGTCATTTTTGTGGTTTGCAGCTAGTACTCTGGCTCCAGTTGCATAGTCACAAAAATGAGCATTGGCAGGTGTGACTGGCTTCTGCAGAGAATATTCCTCTTTTCTGATTTTTACACATTTTAAGCCATGTCTTCATCACAATACCTCATTCTAGGGCTGCAGGATCGTTAAGACTATAATCATTTAATTCTTTTTTGCAAAAATATAAAAAACTTAAAGTAGCAATATGTAAGATTAAAGGGCCCTAATCTGTCATCATTAAAGGACCCTAATCTGACATCATTAAAGGGCCCTAATCTGTCATCATTAAAGGGCCCTAATCTGTTATCATTAAAGGACCCTAATCTGCCATCATTAAAGGGCCCTAATCTGTCATCATTAAAGGGCCCTAATCTGTCATCATTAAAGGGCCCTAATCAGTCATCATTAAAGGACCCTAATCTGTCATCATTAAAGGACCCTAATCTGACATCATTAAAGGGCCCTAATCTGTCATCATTAAAGGGCCCTAATCTGTTATCATTAAAGGACCCTAATCTGCCATCATTAAAGGGCCCTAATCTGTCATCATTAAAGGGCCCTAATCAGTCATCATTAAAGGGCCCTAATCTGTCATCATTAAAGGGCCCTAATCAGTCATCATTAAAGGGCCCTAATCAGTCATCATTAAAGGGCCCTAATCTGTCGTCATTAAAGGGCCCTAATCTGTCGTCATTAAAGGGCCCTAATCTGTCGTCATTAAAGGGCCCTAATCTGTCATCATTAAAGGGCCCTAATCTGTCGTCATTAAAGGGCCCTAATTTGGCATCATTAAAGGGCCCTAATCAGTCATCATTAAAGGGCCCTAATCAGTCATCATTAAAGGGCCCTAATCTGTCATCATTAAAGGGCCCTAATCAGTCATCATTAAAGGGCCCTAATCAGTCATCATTAAAGGGCCCTAATCTGTCGTCATTAAAGGGCCCTAATCTGTCGTCATTAAAGGGCCCTAATCTGTCGTCATTAAAGGGCCCTAATCTGTCATCATTAAAGGGCCCTAATCTGTCGTCATTAAAGGGCCCTAATTTGGCATCATTAAAGGGCCCTAATCAGTCATCATTAAAGGGCCCTAATCTGTCGTCATTTAAGGGCCCTAATCTGTCATCATTAAAGGGCCCTAATCTGTCATAATAATAAACTGCTCTTTTCCAATACTTCTTTAACTGATAACAGTAGTTCAGAGATATTTGAATTTCTAAATTACTTTTCCAGCCTCTAAATCTTGTTATTGTTTTCATTTTGATGTCCCGCCCTCCACCGTTTCACCAATCAGAAAGTCTGTGATCCGGGCGCCAGAACTCACCGTGTGGAGCTAATCTCACTGGTAAAGTACCATGTGGCGCAGAACTAAAAAAGGTCTCGTTATGATTCTCAAATCATTAACAACAAAACAAGGAATAAAACCAGGATTTCTATCTTTGTGAAAAAGGTGTTGGTTATAGATTTGTTGTTGACAAAACTCTTGTCTATTCAGCTGTTATGGTCCCAGCTGGATTTGTCTGCATATCTGGCAACCTGAGTCAGGGAGAGTGGGAGAGGCTGCAGTACCACTTTTGACCACATGTGTACATAATGCTCCTTTAACTTTTTCTATTAAGTAAATTAAAAGACATTTCTTGCGCATTATGAAAATTATAGGATTTATTTTAGTTTGATATTTTTAGTTTAAAATCCTGCAGCTTTACTCCACTCCCATTTTGACTGTTGTGTTTTTCCACTTCACTCTTTCGATGAACTAACCCCTGCTTTCACTGTGACCACAATGCATCAGTTCTAACCAGCCGACATAATGGGCTGCAGTCATGCACCGGTTACTTCAAGCGTTTTTATTGTGTATAATTAGACTAAACATATATTCAGGTTTGCATTTTTACTTTAATTTTCTCCTCAGGAAAGTTAATAAATGCTACAGAGGACGGTCCTGCCCAATCATCGTTCACTGCAAGTAAGACAACAGAGCATCCATGAATACGTCTGTTTTTATATTTATAGTTCAGTATCGTGAAAATAAAACGCATGTATTTTTCTCTTAAACACAGCGATGGCGTCGCAAGAAGTGGCACTTACATCCTGATCGACATGGTGCTGAACCGCATGGCTAAAGGTGAGCCGAGAGGGAAAGATGAAAATATTGCGTATACGTTGTGATTAATCCCAAATATATTACAGTCTAATTAAATATGAAGAAAAACTTGATCTCATTCCTCTTTTTGTAAGTTTGAAAATGTGTCTAGATTCCATTTTAGCAGCTGAAATTTGGAACATTTCCATACACCCTTCCTTAGATTTATAAAAATGAATAGATAGGTAGATACTTTATTGATCCCCGTCTGAGAAATTCAGGTGTCCAGTAGCAGCAAAAATTAAAATTAAATTGATCATTAAAATAAGCTAACTATAGTAATAATCAGCAACAGTCCTTCAGGTCACAGCAGCAGAGGTCAAAAGGTGGAGCAGCCTCTTGGTTCAGACCATTTTCTCTGCTCTGGTCCAAAGTAAAATGCTAAATACTTCATTAGTATTTTTCATAAACTTAGTATTCCTCCAGTGGATTTTCATCTGATCCACTTGGTTCGGACCATGAATCCTCTCTGCTCTGGTCTGGACCAGTGTAAAACCATGAATCCTCTCTACTCTGGTCTGGACCAGTGTAAAACCATGTAATTAAAACCATTTAATTGCAGAATCAAGGCTGAAATTGGGATTATTGTCTTGTTTTTCGTCAGGGGTGAAGGAGATTGACATCGCAGCTGCTCTTGAGCACATCAGAGACCAGAGACCCGGACTCGTGCGCACAAAGGTACGACCCTTTTCACATTTTCACTTTTACTCTATAAACAATTTGCATTTTCATCTTTTCCCTCAGGACCAGTTTGAGTTTGCGCTGACCGCTGTCGCCGAGGAAGTGAACGCCATTTTGAAAGCCCTGCCGCAGTGAAGCCGCCGCAGCAGTGGTTTGGGACACTGGACATTAGCTCCAGTGAAGGAACATTAAACCAACCTGGACCGCTCCTGTAAATACGACTTCTGTACCACTCTTGCTTTCGGCATGTTACTCCCAATTTTGTTTTTGAATCATATTTTGATAATACAGGATTGTAATTAAAAAGGGGTATGTAAAATGCAGAGATACATGAATAGAATATAGCACAGATTGACTATTTATCTAATTGGAGATACTGTCTGACCAAATACTCAAATATCACTGTGCCGGTGTTGGTGAGACGTCACGAGACCGATCCCAAAATAAGGTTCATCTCACGTCAGCCTTTTTGGATTGGTCTTTCCCTGGACGCTTGACCCTCCACAGCAGAACCATGAGCAGAACCATGAGCAGAACTGGGTGAACTTTCGCTGTTTTTGGCTGTTCAATGATGTCAATGTGTGTGTGTGTGTTTCCATGTCGGTTAATCATGACTCATTAGTTGTTTGATCACGATGATTCTCTCTGTTCTTTTAACAATATAGTTTGATTGATTTGTGAGTTTGAACATCTGGATAAATCAATGTGCATCATTCACCGCAGTGATTGTTTTTCATGTCGCAGATTGCTAGAAAATAACTATAAAAATGTATTTTTGACTTGACCTTAATAAAATTGTGATGTGACGCAGCAAACACATAGGTATGCTTTTATTGTGAAAATCCATGATCGAGTAAATAAATTATGACTAGAGAAAATCTAACAAAGATTTCAACAACACATGGTCTCTGTTCGAGCTTTTATTCCAATAATGTAATACTCTTTGTCATGTGTACAGTGTAGTTTATGAACATACTTCCAGTGTTTATTTTGTGTTGCACTGTTCCCACTGCAATTAATGACAAAAGGTAGGTAAGTGTTTCAGTTCCAGATCTGTCGACTGGAATTAGCTTTTTGTTCCAGTGCAGAGACCAGCTTTGGTAAGTTTTACCTAAAATATCTTCTATATATCTATCTATATAACCTAATATTGTCATGTATTACAGTGATTACTGCAACACACACACGCACGCACGCACACACACACACGCGCACACACACACACAAACACAGACACACACGCACCCTCACACACACACACACAGACACACACCCTCACGCACACGCACACACACACACAAACACAGACACACACGCACCCTCACACACACACACACACACACACACACAAACACAGACACACACCCTCACGCACACACACACACAAACACAGACACACACCCTCACGCGCACACAAACGCAGACACACACACAAAAACACACACATCCTCACACACGCACACAAACACAGACACACACACACAAAAACACAAATAGACACACACACACACACACACACTACATAAACAACTCGGTTCAACCCATGTGTTTAATTCTTCAGGTCGGCGTCATGTTGTGAAGTCAAGTGCATCAAGCGATTTTTGACCTGTAGGAATAAATTGACAGGACGTCATATATTTTTGGCTTTAAGAAGAGTTTTAAAGAAGAAATATTATGCAACATTTTGAGATTTTAACCATGTTATAGCCTGGTTCCTTCATCAAAACACAAACATGTAACTCCTGCAACAGTTGGATGTCATCGTCCCACTAGGATAACACACTCAGAGCCGTTTTCTGCATTTTAAAACTAAATTATTGCCCATCAATTATTTTTGGCAAATTCTTTACAATTTTAAGGTTGTTTGCACCTCCTACTTCTGGTGGAATCAGAATCATTTGTAAGGCCATGTAAGCAACGGGAGTTAAATGTGTTTTGAACCTTGATCATCTCAGTCCCCATAGTTTTCTATTTAAGATATTATATTAGTTATGTCTAAAAAGCATAATATTTCTACATTAAAACAGTAAAAAGGTGGCGTGGGGTCTAGGATCTACTGCGGGTGTTTACCTCTGGGCAGGGTTAGCTCGTGAAGGCCTCGAAGTCTGACTCTGAAACAATAAGCACCAATATTTAGACTATGTTCACATTTAAATGAATATTTGTAACAATAAATGACATATTTACATTTGACACATTTTACTTTGAATCTGGAAGTGATGAAAAAACTCCATGGTGACATCTCATATACACAAGTTTGTCTTTATTTCAACATATTATAACACTGCGCAGTGGCAGCGTGTGTAATGACATTTTGACATAAAAACAGTCAGATTTAGCAAACAGTCAGATTTAGCAAACAGTCAGATTTAGCAAACAGTCAGATTTAGCACGGTAAACGGAGCTTTTCTCACAAATATTTTAGCAGCATTGCAAAAAGTAGTAAAAATATTATGTGCTTCACTTAATTGCCACAAAATATACAAAAATGAAAAATCTCTTCCAACCTTTTCTAACCTATTGGCACTTTGACAATCACACGTCACGGGAACATTGGACACAGTACATCCCAAAAGTTATTTTCAGAAAAAAAGGTGCAAAATGTCCTTTTTATCTCAAGACTTGAGAGACTTTGACTTTTATTTTGCACCCAGTGTAAAACAGCTCTATAAAAGTGCATGAGTTAGTTCATGAAATTCACATAGTTTTGTTGATTGCATCTTTATATTGCTCCCATTCCGTAAACTTTAAGATACTTAAAATGTGAAAACATTTAATTTAGTAATTGTTTGGGCAATATTCATTCATGTCTTTTTGTCAAAACGGTCTCATGTGTTTCCAACGTTTAGAAACTGAGCACCATCAAAGTTTAACACTTATATTTTCTGTTCCTTCGTCACACGACACCATTCGTTAATAAAAAACACACTATTCCACAAAGTTAGTCATCAACACAGAAACCAACTTATTATTGTGTTACTCTCACTGCAAAATCAAACTGGTTTATTCACAACGCAATTTGGAACAAATGTATGGTTAGATTAAAATCTTTAAATACTTCTAATAGATACAATATTGATTTTTGATTTGATTTTTTGGAATATTTAAATCTTTTTTAAACATTCAGTAAACTTTCTACACAATGCAATCAGAAGCATGTGGCTTCAATCTTCAACATTATACATATTTTTGTCAAAATGTACGGAAGCTTGTTAGGTTCATGTTTGAGTTTTTTCGCTGGTATCATGTTATTTCATGATACTTTCATGAAATAACACGATAAATATCATGTTATTTCATGATACCAATTTATCATGAAATAATATGTATCGAGGCTTGTATCGTGTTGTGTATTATTTATCTTACACAAACTCTAAACAAAACCCAGAGCGGTCGTTCTACATCGAGTAGAAAGTGCCGTTAGTGAATTAGCACAAGACGCAGCCGCACTTGTTTTTCTTCCTAAGGCTGTTTTTATTTTCTGTATTTTTCTGAGGTGGCGGCTCGTTTTCCACTGAGCTGTCGTGACTCGGTGATGTCACATTAGAAGTCGTGTAGGACGAGCTGCTGCCTGACGTTGTCGGCGACTCGCTCGGAAAACTCAAACTATGCTCTTTTTTCTCATCGGGCACTTCCTTTCCATCCACAGTCACAACCTGTTTCACTTTGACTTTAACCCCGCCCCCAGCACCTGATAAAAAGTCGTTCACGTTTGCCCGCTGTTGTGCGTCCATTTCAGACAGACTGCACGCCAGCGCCATCTGCAGGTCTTCGTCGTCCTCGTCCTCCTGCGCCACGTCACTGTAGTTGAAAAACGGAGCAGAGCTGAATGAGCGGTGAGGCGTCGAGGGCGGAGGAAGCCGATCCGAGGATTGTGGGTGGATCGGAGGCTTGTGCGTTGGACTTTCTCTTTTGCTCAACTCCAAGGCCAACGCCATCTCATCCGCCACACCTTCAAAACAACATCAATGAGAGGATTAGTTTCCACCTTGTGTCTGATTCATATCAAGGAAAACACACAAAGAATTACCGTTTATTGTGACAGACTTCAAAACTCCATCCTCCTCAATTTCAACCCTCTCCTGGCCATTTTCCTTGATCCTAAAAGCAAAAGGATTAATATCAACCTAAATACTGAAATTGACCATTAAGTTAAAAAGAAGTTACTTTGAAATTAAACAAGTAGTAAAATGACAAGATTGATGGAAAATCAAAATTGGCCTTTCATAACGACGAAAGAGATGACCGGTAGATTAGATTAATCCGTCTCATTTCAAACTAAATCTAAAAAAAATTAAGGGGGAGCAAATAACAATTCATATTTCACTGGAGAATTGAAATGACACTGCGGCCCATCGTGAAGTGCTAATGCTTGGACTGCTTGTGGATAATATCAGTTATTCAGACTTTTTGTGAGTGAGGTAAACTCCGGTGGTGTCTGCTCCATGGAAAGAGTTGAAACAGGGTGTTTTTATGGGGGCGGGGCTGTTGTCTTTGATGATCTTATTCTTCAGACACTACTCTATAAAGGTGTTCTGTGTGGAGAGAAGACTGCAGCCAGCGGTCTTTTCAGCCCAATGTATGACAGAAGCAGTTTTCTTACCACCGACAAATGCAGCCAGAGGGTTTGTGTATGTGCACCTGTGTTTATTACCACAAAGGTGTTCATTACAAACAACTCTTCCTCTGCTCCTCTTCCTCTCCCTCCAAAGTGTGCAGTGACCAGGTCAGGGTGCGGGTTATATAAGGCAGTCAAAGCTAGCCATGGCCTTCCAAACGACTGCTTTACGTTCTAAACTGACTCGTAAATATAGTGTATTGAAATCAGCCTATCGAGAGGAACTATTTTTTGTCAGTACTTTGTCTTACTTTTTAGTAGTTGTGCGTTTGCCGTTCACGATACGAGTGCTGGTGGAAACGGATTTGAAATTGCTCATTCCTCCACCCATACTGTCCATGTCACTGAGGCCGCCCATCGAGAAGGATGTGAAGTCCGCTGCAACAAAAGAAAAGACAACAGGTGTTTCGTTAAATGCATGGAAATATATTCAGTGTTTCCCATTCACAGAAACAATGGTGCCCCCCGTAAAGAATATAAACAAAAACTCAAGTACGATAATAAAAACCTACCACCTGCTGAAGGGAAGGAGAAGAACCTACTGGGACCCATGCGAGAAGTCGAACCAAATGAAGAGAAATCATCTAAAACCAGAGATCAAATATATATTATCAAGTATTCTATGACATCAATGTGAACTTGGATTTAATTTGTCACTCACCAAAAAAATTAGCAAATGGATCCTGGCCTCCAAAAAATTCCCTGAACACATCGTCTGGGTTTCGGAATGTGAAAGTAAATCCTGGGAAATCTGAGAAGTCTGTATTTGCTGATCCTTGACAAAAGACATTGTTGTTTGTTGAGGTAATGGAAACGCATGCAATATAATACGCAATCACAATGTTTTTTATGTTTAATGTTACCTGTGTGCCTAAAATTATCGCTTCCGTATCTGTCATAGGAACCACGCTTAATTTCTGTGAGGGAAAAATGACAGAAAGATATCAAAATAAGTACACATTTTCATTAGCATACGGACATATAAATACACTTACTGTCAGACAAAACTTCATAGGCCTCTGAAAGCTCTTTAAACTTTTTCTCTGCTTCTTCCTTGTTGTCTGGGTTTTTATCTGGGTGCCATCTCAGGGCCAATTTTCTGTAACTTTTATATAACAAGATAAGAATAACATGACAACATGAGTCTTTTATAGAAACAAGAATATATCAATCTTACGCCTTTTTAATGTCCTCCTGTGAAGCAGCTTTAGGGACTCCCAGGATTTTATAGTAATCTACCATTTTGACAAAGAAACGTTCCCACCTGTGAAGAACGAGACAGTCAAATACATGAACATTATTACACACAACCCAAACTATTCTGTTATATACAGTAGATAGCTAACGGAATACATTATATTTCAAGCTCTTACAAAGATTTCTCCTATAATATAAACAAAGAAAGCGTCACTTGCATGTTTTAATAAGCCTGTATCACCTAATATTAACAGGAGGTTTCAGTGTCAGAAAAGTTTGGTTTCACCTACAACCTATCCCCACCCGCTTTCTGTGCTTAATCCTCCAGGTCAAACATGTTTTTAAATAGGTTTTTAGTAGTATCAGTATTTAACACAACTCACTAGAGGAAAATGCTAGGCTTATCAAATCAGCTGTTTTATTAATTGAACGTAATATCAATACAATACAAAAAATACCAATACAAATTATTTAAAAGTTATTTTAGAACGACATGGCCTCCAAAACACCATATTATGCCTCGTTCAGAAATGTATATACACTTGTTATTATTATATTATAGTGCTCAGTTTACACCAGTGCCACACACCAGGCCGTGCTGGTCCCCTTCATGCCAATCCCATTAGTGGGCCGGACCATTTAGGACCAGGGGACTTCCAACGTGAGCTAAAACAACTCAACTTAATCGTAAATGCCCCCCATGACGGTGGAAAGTATTCACGCGGGTATTATTACGACGTTATTTCTGGCGTACTCCTGGCATTTAACGTTATGATACATCCAGCTGGTTTGACAGAGTGGATAACGTTATATACAGTTAGAAATGATTAATAACTGGATCTCAGAATGATCTCATACTATTCCCTAATATGGTTATGTGTAGCTTTAGCAATAGTAGCCGTTACATTGCCGTTAGAACTCCGACTGACCGTTACTTTACCCTGGTTTCCAAGGTGATCACCAAGGCAACACGTTCGTCTCCAGCTCTGCGTGACCCCCGCGTGCGCCCACAATATGGCCCTCCACCCGCGTGCCCCTCGCCGTTATAAAACCGCAAAAACAACGCTCCGTGGGTCAGCTGTGGTAAACTCCACGGCCCCGAAAGGCGACGCAAGTGTTTTGGTTGTGCGTCTGTCACCGCCCATTTGGCCAACCAGCGTGTGTGTGAGGCGGACTACGTCACAGGCCGAGAGGGACGTTCCGGAAAGTGCCAGAAGGTCTCAAGTCTCCCTTTAACGCCCCCCTAAATCTCTTTATTCACCTCTAATATTAGTCATTAAAGTCTCAAATTTATATAAAACGTTTTTTATACCCATGTCATTTGTTTCTGTATATATGTCTTCGTATGTATCGTTACGTTTATATATAATAAAAAGCCAGAACTTCATGCCTAAAAACTGGATCTTTAGTTACAGGCCATGTTGGGGGTTATAGATAGCGAATAATTGTCAAAACAAAAAGAGGTCCCTTTAAGCAAGAAAGCAACCACAGTTCTCTAAACATACGATTTCTGTGGTCGCTAATGCGCCTCTAAGCGAACTACACGTGCAAGATAAAAACCGAGCATAGCCTCCAAATGTATAGTACATTTAATTTAAAGATATTTCAAACCCTTCTCACATACAAATGCGCAAGTTTTGTAACCCCATGTTTAACTAAAATGTATGGTCCCTACTCTAGGAATTTTTTTGGTGCTGCCATCTAGTGGCCATAAAGTTAGTTGCAATATGAAGGATGACGTCACAGACAAGACAGTGTTTTGACAACCTTTATTTAGATGACCAATTAGCAGGAAATAGGCGAGGAATGTGCAGATTGAAGACTTGGGAATGTAATGCCATTTTATGTTCTTAATATTCCTCACCCTCTTCATCTTCTTCTCCCACACTGTCAGTGCCCACCTCTTCATAATCCTTCTCCAGAGCAGCCATGTCTTCTCTGGCCTCAGAGAACTCTCCCTCCTCCATACCCTCGCCAACATACCAGTGCACAAAGGCCCTCTTGGCGTACATCAGGTCAAACTTGTGGTCCAGTCGAGCCCAGGCCTCAGCGATGGCTGTGGTGTTGCTCAGCATGCACACAGCTCTCTGCACTTTAGCCAGATCTCCACCAGGGACCACTGTGGGAGGCTGGTAGTTGATGCCCACCTTGAAACCAGTCGGACACCAGTCCACAAACTGGATGGAGCGCTTGGTTTTGATTGTGGCAATGGCTGTGTTTACATCTTTGGGGACGACATCACCACGGTACAGGAGACAGCAGGCCATGTATTTACCATGACGAGGATCACACTTCACCATCTGATTGGCCGGCTCAAAACAGGCATTTGTGATATCAGCAACGGAGAGCTGCTCATGGTAAGCTTTCTCAGCAGAGATGACAGGGGCATAGGTGGCAAGAGGGAAGTGGATACGAGGGTAAGGCACCAAGTTGGTCTGAAACTCAGTCAGGTCAACATTCAGGGCGCCATCGAAACGCAGGGAGGCAGTGATTGAAGACACAATCTGACCGATCAGCCTGTTCAGGTTGGTGTATGTCGGCCTCTCGATGTCAAGGTTTCTGCGGCAGATGTCATAGATGGCCTCGTTGTCCACCATGAAGGCACAGTCAGAGTGCTCCAGGGTAGTGTGTGTGGTCAGGATGGAGTTGTAGGGCTCGACCACTGCAGTAGACACCTGAGGGGCTGGGTATACAGCAAACTCAAGCTTTGATTTCTTTCCATAGTCAACAGAGAGCCTTTCCATCAACAGAGAAGTGAAACCGGATCCAGTTCCTCCGCCAAAAGAGTGGAAGATTAGGAACCCCTGCAGACCTGTGCACTGGTCAGCCTGTGAAAAAAAATACAATTAATCCATGTACCTCTTTATACACATGTTGAATTCTGAAAGTCATGAAACATTTTGTTTTGTTTACAGTCTATGAAGTCAAATACGCACCAGTTTTCTTGTTCTGTCCAGTACCAAGTCTATGATCTCCTTGCCGATGGTGTAGTGGCCACGAGCGTAGTTATTAGCCGCATCCTCCTTTCCGGTGATCAGCTGTTCAGGATGAAACAGCTGCCTGTAGGTTCCTGTGCGCACTTCATCTATAGAACAAAGTCATACCGAGAGTTAAAGAAGAGTGCACAATTCTTCCAAAATAAATCAGACTCTGAAATGCTACAAATGTACCTATAACTGTTGGTTCCAGATCCACAAAAATGGCTCGTGGGACGTGCTTTCCAGCTCCGGTTTCACTGAAGAATGTATTGAAGGAGTCATCACCTCCTCCTAAAGTTTTATCAGAAGGCATCTGACCATCAGGCTGGATCCCATGCTCCAGACAGTACAACTCCCAGCATGCATTGCCCATCTGGGCTCCGGCCTGGCCGACGTGCATAGAGATACATTCACGCTGTAAAACAGAAGAGGTTTAAACAACCGTATGAAATTTTATCATACAGTATTGTCTAAGTTTTTAAAAAGGCTATTACTTTGAAACAGGAATGTGGCAGAAAGAGTGACGCCATCATCCCCACCCTGTCACCCTTCAGCCCCCCCCCTCCCGTCCAGCTGCAGACCTACTTCCATGATCTCCTCCCTAAACTCAGAAAAACCAACAGCTGCAAAATGGCTGCCGTAACTCAAACAGTATGTTCTCTGACCACTCCTTTCCTCTTTTTCTCCAATCCATCCCCCACCGTCACGGTGCCCCAGTTCAATCATTATACAATTAAAACTAGGCCAAGTTGATGAAAGGGTCGCAAACAAGTGTTTGTTCTCTAAAAATCTAACTCTTCCTCAAAACTTTTAAAGAGTCCCAAGGCGGGCGGTTCCACTGTCATTTGACCCAAATGCGACATTATTCACTAAAGCGGTTTTACTTCCTCATATTCCATTGAACCGACGCAGCGGCGGAAACAATGAAGCAGCCCGACATTACAGAACTATGTTCGCAGTGCGATAGTTTTAGCTCAACACTAAATAATTAAAACATCTCACGGCACGGAAAAGACAACTGAATTATGGAAAACCCCTATATAAATCACCATACCCGGTGAAATAACTCACCATTTTTTTTGATTGTCCTTTAGACTGACGATAAGGAATCAGACACAGGGCAGAAGTGAGGCGGGAAGGCTGAGCCGCAGCTTAAATACGCAAAGGTTGCATCCAATTTCTTTCATCCTCTATTGTCCTTTCTTCTCTTTATCATTAAGCTCAGTGGCTCTATACTTAGCAAATGTGGCCTCAAAACAATATCTTGAAGTTTGTATACTTAATTTTATCAAACTTGTAGCTACATCATCCCACAACATGTTAAATATAAAATACAAGGGAAAGGAAGGAGATTATTTGTGAATTTGAATGTGGTCAAAGATGTGGAGGGGCGGTCGGGAAACCTCCGCACATGCGCACAACGCATTGGCGGGAGTGCACTTGGTTTGAAAAAAGTCTCGACGTCATCAGTCTTTTACAGCCGTAGATTTGGTTATTCAGTAATGGCACAAAGTCAACGTTTCTCCCAAAAAAATGAACTACGCGCTGCTTTAAATTGTACAAGCAGCTGCATTTCCAAACATGTAAGTATTATGGTGTTACCCTAATTGTTGTGAAAAAGTATTCTGAAATATATTTGATGCTACTTTGAATGATTACATAACAAAACAAGTAGGCTAATAATTTTATTAGTTTTTTTAGTAACAAAGCAGGTAGTGGTGAGTAGCTGTGATGGATACATGGACATAGAGGACTAACAATGTTTCCAATGAAAAAATAAAAATCACAAATACAAACTTAACAAACGTGAATTTTGCTGCAAACCTCGGAAAAGCCCACCCCAGACACAACAATGGGTGACTGCGAGCTCATTGTTGCTGTAAGCCACAGTAGGCTTTGGCGGACAGCTATATGGTCTGTCACACAAAGTCACAGCTGAATGGCACATAGAAACCGACAGAGAAGCTCTTTCATAACTGACATCCCACATTGGAGAGGATGTATTGGGGGAGGAGCACAAAAGCCAGGGTCAGGTCTGGATCAGATGGGCCGCTGTACAGCCTGGTCACGTATGACGCACCATGAGTCCTTATATGCCGTTTCTCTAAATTCCAAAACATTTAATTCAACTACTAATTCTAACAGTATTCAAAACTAAATGTAGCCCCTTCTTCCTCCAAAGACAGACAATTTGAGGGGAATGGATTTTAGGAACATTTATGGATATTGACTAACCCATTGTTCTAATGGCCAGATGATTATTTGTGTTTTAATGTTTTATTTCTTGTGTTTTAATGGTTGATTTTCTGCTGTAGACGAATCAGCATGTCTGTGAGACCCCTCAAATGATTGCTGTTGTGATTTTAAGATATGCAAAACTACATATTTTTCAGTATAGGGCAAGATATTGTCTTTGTATGTAATGAGATCGGGATGTACTTGCAGGACATAAGCATAGAGATACTAAGATTAATAATGGCAAGTATGATTATATATTTCATTTTGATGTTTTGTCAAATTCAGTATTCTTCACCATCATCCTCTGCGCCAATGTTGTCAGCTCCCACCTCTTCATAATCTTTCTCCAAAGCAGCAAGATCCTCTCTGGCCTCAGAGAACTCTCCCTCCTCCATACCCTCGCCAACATACCAGTGCACAAAGGCCCTCTTGGCGTACATCAGGTCAAACTTGTGGTCCAGTCGAGCCCAGGCCTCAGCGATGGCTGTGGTGTTGCTCAGCATGCACACAGCTCTCTGCACTTTAGCCAGATCTCCACCAGGGACCACTGTGGGAGGCTGGTAGTTGATGCCCACCTTGAAACCAGTCGGACACCAGTCCACAAACTGGATGGAGCGCTTGGTTTTGATCGCAGCGATAGCAGAGTTGACGTCTTTAGGCACAACATCACCACGGTACAGGAGACAGCAGGCCATGTATTTACCATGACGAGGATCACACTTCACCATCTGATTGGCCGGCTCAAAACAAGTATTTGTGATATCAGCAACGGAGAGCTGCTCATGGTAAGCTTTCTCAGCAGAGATGACAGGGGCATAGGTGGCAAGAGGGAAGTGGATACGAGGGTAAGGCACCAAGTTGGTCTGAAACTCAGTCAGGTCAACATTCAGGGCGCCATCGAAACGCAGGGAGGCAGTGATTGAAGACACAATCTGACCGATCAGCCTGTTCAGGTTGGTGTATGTCGGCCTCTCGATGTCAAGGTTTCTGCGGCAGATGTCATAGATGGCCTCGTTGTCCACCATGAAGGCACAGTCAGAGTGCTCCAGGGTAGTGTGTGTGGTCAGGATGGAGTTGTAAGGCTCGACCACTGCAGTAGACACTTGAGGGGCTGGGTAAATGGCAAACTCCAGTTTGGACTTTTTCCCATAATCAACAGAGAGCCTTTCCATCAACAGAGAAGTGAAACCAGATCCAGTTCCTCCACCGAAAGAGTGGAAGATGAGGAACCCCTGCAGACCGGTGCACTGGTCAGCCTGTGAAAAAGAAAACACAATAAGTAGAAAGTTCAAAGCTCAGACTTGCCTCTCTGCAAACAAAGCCCACAAAAGTTTGCCTTACCAGTTTGCGTGTTCTGTCCAGTACCACATCAATGATCTCTTTGCCAATTGTGTAGTGCCCACGGGCGTAGTTATTAGCTGCATCTTCTTTCCCTGTGATCAGCTGCTCAGGATGAAACAGCTGCCGGTAGGTTCCTGTGCGCACTTCATCTGCAAAATGTAAATAATTGTTATTTTAAAAATCTGGTATTTAAAATAGTTTTTCTTTTTTACAAACCGATAACAGTGGGTTCCAGATCCACAAAAATGGCTCGTGGGACGTGCTTTCCTGCCCCCGTTTCACTGAAGAATGTGTTGAAGGAGTCGTCACTTCCTACTTTAGTTTTATCAGACGGCATCTGACCATCAGGCTGGATCCCATGCTCCAGACAGTACAGCTCCCAGCATGCATTGCCCATCTGGGTTCCAGCCTGGCCGACATGGACAGAGATGCATTCACGCTGCAGTAGAAAGAAAAGTTGTTTAAGCTTTTATGGAGATAAATTATACTGAACAAATATTTCTATGTTCTATATAGTTCAGGAAAAAAAACCATTCAAGATAAGACAGACTTTATCAATCTCTGATGGAGAAATGTCACATTTGGCACAGATAAAATCACTCAGATTTGTGCAAAGACAGAAGTGTGAAACATGTTAAATGTTGAGTCTGTGCAGGATATAATTATGTACAATAAAAAGAGGTAATAACAAGTGGCTCACCATGACTGCAGAGGTTCTTCTCTGTGTTCTACAAGGTGTCGGTGAGAAGATGAAGTGCTGGAGTCAGCGGTTCTCCTGCCTTTAAATACCAGCCTTTGGGGTGGACTGTGACTTGATCTGAGTTGTAATCAGAGATCCCAAATGAGACCATGATATGATCATCTGTTCCTCAAACGCACACACAATGAAAAAGGAGGTCACCACCCTGTTTATTGTGTGGCCTGTTTTGTGATCCTGTGTGCACCTTGTATTTCAGGAAGCAAAATAGGTGCAGTGCTCAGATTAAACAATTTACGATACTTTGCAGGATCTATTCATTCAATATATTTATAATTCTGTTAAACTTGAGGAATCAAATGCACACATTCTTGTCTGGAAGGCTATCTTCAGCACTTTGCCTTTTGTCTAGATTATGTCTAGACAAAGAGTGTCTTGCGTGTTTCAATAACAGAAGGACAACAATGCACAGATAAACCAAGCATGTAAAGTTAACTGATGCTGAGACATGTTTCCACAAATACATGATTTCACTGCACAATGTGAAATAATTCAGTGATCTTTTCCCACACTCCAGCTCTTCACACACAATATAACATGTATGGGACTTGTTCTTCTTTCTTGTTTGTGCTAAACCTCAAGGGAAGAATACAGAAATATAATACGAGTGAATCGCCTCGTATGAGCAGACGAACTTGTGTAAACAGTTCTACAATGTCTTCATAAAGAATATCAGGCGTTAAAAGGCCTGTGTGGACTGGGCTCCCACAGCTTCTGCACACAGCTCAGGCCTTGAGGGTTTCGCTCAGATCTGTGACATTGAAAACATGTGGGGCAGCTTTCAGAGCCGACAGACATCCACTAATGTGCTCCTCCAAGGATTCTTCCTCTTTTCATCCAGACACATCTGATCTCATACTGGATCTTTTATTCAGAGTTAGATCGAGAAGCCCTAAAGATGAGAGTGATACTCTGCTGCTGCACATTAACCATTAACAAACCACATAAACTAACCCTAACCACTGAAAAGTATCCTCACAATACTAACTTACATAATACACAAAGCCCCAGTTAAAATTGTACTTTTGAGTCAGGGGGAAAAAAGAAAATGCTTCAAGTTCACATTTATAGGACATGTTTTAGTTGCATTTAACCATGTATTCTTATTTTTTTCATTTTGTGTGTGCAAATGTGTTGCAGATGGTGTAAGTAGGTCCAGATATCATTCATAATACTAACTTATTCAGAAAGTAACTTCTAACTTAAGTTCTTTTTAAGATAATTGGGTTACTGGGAAATTAATGTTTATCTTTCTGTAAAAATAACTTTTTAGCATCCAAACTTTTTTATCCTATCACATCAAAGGATGTCACGGTGAGAGAGTCCAGCAAAGCTAACAAAACTAAAGTTAATTTATGCTCCTTTCTGACATAGTCACAAAGTCACAGTTGTGTGTTTTGTGCCACAGTCTATTGCACAAACTTATTTATGAGCTTGACATTTTTCTTGACCTACTTCTGTTGAGACACATCTGCCTCCTGCTGTCATGCAGCAGATAGATCCATGAGCACAGGCTGTTTATCACTTATTGGTGCATTGACTCATGGAACTGTAGCCCAAAAACCTGGCAGATAAATGTAACAACCCAAGTTTTATAGACACACCCTTTCCAAACCTTTCCGTTTTCTCTGCTCGATATGAGACATTTGACACGTCATACAGACTGACCAGGAATAACTGTGAAATTGTGACATCTAGCGTACGGTGATGGGAACAGCAGTGTAAACTTGTTTTTGTCTGTTCTGATGTGGAGGGCGTTGACCTTCAATTTTTTCCAAACGGATATTCAAGATGTGGAACCCACAGTTCAGCCTGGGGCCATCCGTCTGTCTTTGACCAATGGAAACAATGTAAACAGTGCGTATTTATAATACGTTTGACTGGATAACTCTCATCTGTATGTCATGCTGATCATACGTTTAAAACTTCCAACAAACTCATGAACTCAACCATGTTCAGTTCGAATCTGTCTGAGGCGCGTCACCGCGGGGAGGAGCGCGCACCCGGGCTGAAGTGTGACAGCTCCGCGCCCACCCGGGTCAGACTTCTTACTTACTCGGACCACATTGACGGTTGCCGAGAGAGCTGCAGAAAACCGCTTCAGAATCTATTCTTGTGCAGCAGACCCTCTCTTTAGAAACCACCATGGTGAGTACTATGATCTGCAGTGAAATGAGTTCCATGTTGTTCTACCAAAGCTTTATGCACCAAATACTTCTTTAGTTTATTACAAAGCTTTTTTTATTATAAGGTTTCTCAAGGGGCCTCATTTATCCGTGTCTGGTGCAAGAACATAGCACGTTTTTCATAGGGCTGGCAGTGTGTTAAACTTATGAGAATACATGTTTTAGAACTTCTGATATATCTGAATATATAAACCGTCCACCATTTGAAGGTTTGTAAACTGGAAAAGTCAGTAAGTCAGGGTGTGTGTGTCTGTGTGTGTCTGTGTGTGTTCAGGGTGTGTTAGTATGTGACTAGACAAGTTCTGTTTGAACCTGTCCACGTTTTTCCCTCCAAAAAAAAGCACAGCAGGACATTTTCCATGAACCATTCTGAAACTTATGAAACCATTATAAAAAAGTGTTTTACTTTGTATATAAACTCTCTAATGTATTTACCATATACATATCACACTAGTCTCAGTCGTGTGTTTGCACAGTGTAATCCAAACAGACCATGGATTACTGTTGTATCAAAGTACAAGCCAACCACCAAAACCTCCAGCCACAACTTTGGAATACATTTATAATCCTGTTTTGATCATTTTTGTGCGTTCTTATATTTGTTTTGTTCATTTATAAAAACAAAAAATGAGATGTACAACAATAACCCCCTCTTCAGTCACATCCACAGTTTGATGACCAGATTAATGACAGAAATCCTCCATAAATCTATGGAGAAAATAAAGCATTGGAAAGTCTAAATGGCATCAGCCTCCATTTTGAGGAGCGCCTGTCAGTGTTTACTGAAAGCCTGGTCTGTTTGGTGTCAGGTTAGTGTGTGTGGCTGAAAATAGATGCAGCTGAGGTCTAACCTGCTAAAGCACCAAACAACACGTTGCCTCAGTCTTTTTCCATATCACTGCATGTATGTTTTTAACTATTTATTATTCTATTGTTTGATAGTAATAAGCCACTTTAGCCCTAACTAAGCTTTTCATGGCAAGCCACTTGTACATAACATGGAAAAACAAGGATTAGCTTTAGGGTAAAAAGTCCTCTACTTATAAATTACATTTGTTTTATATTTAAGGCTTAATGTTGAGGAGAAAACTCTTAACAACCACTTCAGGGCATTATCCAAGTTTAAATGAAATCTAGTGACAGCTGCAACAAATCTGTTGTGCTCGCTCTGTCACCTTCAGCCTCCTTTTCTCCCTGTGCTGACTCTCATAGGAAAATGTTTTATAATTCTTTACAAATAATAGTTTGCATAAAATAAAATGAGTATTTAACTGACACTACAGTTCATTAGTATTTTGTTTGTGTATATGTATATTTGTCAGTACTCAAACTCTTTCTGTTTTCCAGCGTGAATGCATCTCTGTGCATGTGGGCCAGGCTGGGGTCCAGATGGGCAACACTTGTTGGGAGCTGTACTGTCTGGAACACGGGATCCAGCCTGACGGCCAGATGCCCGCGGGACAAAAACCAGGAGGTCATGACGACTCCTTCACCACATTCTTCAGTGAGACCGGGGCAAAGAAGTATGTTCCCAGGGCCATCTTTGTTGATCTTGAACCAACTGTCATAGGTAAGACTGAATATCTTTGTTTGTTATAGACGCTTTTGAATCTGTACTAAAGAGTTTGTCTTTCTTCAGATGAAGTGCGCACAGGAACCTATCGGCAGCTGTTTCATCCTGAGCAGCTGATCTCCGGAAAAGAGGATGCTGCCAATAACTACGCTCGAGGACACTACACGATTGGGAAGGAGATCATTGACTCTGTACTTGACAGAATCAGAAAACTGGTAACACTTACTGACTATAAACAAATAAGCAAGATGCAATGTGAAGGATTTTAATTCTGTTTTTTCTTTAAGGCTGACCAGTGCACAGGCCTTCAGGGATTTTTGGTGTTCCACTCTTTCGGTGGTGGTACCGGCTCCGGGTTCACATCTCTGTTAATGGAGAGACTCTCAGTAGACTTTGGGAAAAAGTCCAAACTGGAGTTTGCCATTTACCCAGCCCCTCAGGTGTCTACTGCAGTGGTCGAGCCTTACAATGCCATCCTGACCACACACACTACCCTGGAGCACTCTGACTGTGCCTTCATGGTGGACAACGAGGCCATCTATGACATCTGCCGCAGAAACCTTGACATTGAACGTCCGTCTTACACTAATCTCAACCGCCTCATCAGTCAGATTGTGTCTTCAATCACTGCCTCCCTGCGTTTCGATGGCGCCCTGAATGTTGACCTGACTGAGTTTCAGACCAACTTGGTGCCTTACCCTCGTATCCACTTCCCTCTTGCCACCTATGCCCCTGTCATCTCTGCTGAGAAAGCTTACCATGAGCAGCTCTCCGTTGCTGAGATTACAAATGCCTGTTTTGAGCCGGCCAATCAGATGGTGAAGTGTGATCCTCGTCATGGTAAATACATGGCCTGCTGTCTCCTGTACCGTGGTGATGTCGTCCCCAAAGATGTAAACACTGCCATCGCTGCGATCAAAACCAAGCGCTCCATCCAGTTTGTGGACTGGTGTCCGACTGGTTTCAAGGTGGGCATCAACTACCAGCCTCCCACAGTGGTCCCTGGTGGAGATCTGGCTAAAGTGCAGAGAGCTGTGTGCATGCTGAGCAACACCACAGCCATCGCTGAGGCCTGGGCTCGACTGGACCACAAGTTTGACCTGATGTACGCCAAGAGGGCCTTTGTGCACTGGTATGTTGGCGAGGGTATGGAGGAGGGAGAGTTCTCTGAGGCCAGAGAAGACATGGCTGCTCTAGAGAAGGATTATGAAGAGGTCGGTATTGACTCATTTGAAGAAGATGAGGAGGGAGAAGAATTCTAATCTTTACACTCTGTTGGTCAGGGCTGTAAATACAAATAATGACTGCAATAAAATATATATTTCAACTGAAAGTTCAACTTTCAAATGCAGAATTGCAAAGTTGTTTATACGTTCAATTGTACATCATAACTTTATCTTGAATACCTCTGAGAATAAAATCTATGCGTATTTTTGTATTGTCTATGTACATTATTTACACCTTCAGTACTCTACGTCATATGGTCCGTGCACGCCCTCTAGTGGTTCTAGTGGTTCTAGTGGTGCCTTGGAGTGGAAAAAATAAATAATTACAAAACAAACTTTGGCACTTTTAATTCCTATTGAATGCCAATCGATATTTGACGTTACACATATAAATATTAACTCGGCCTGCAGAAAGTACATTTTACACGGAGCGGATGTTGAGCCTTGTTGCTTAGCAACTGCAAGGACGCTTTCACCTTTCCGGAAGTGCGTGTCCGGAGAAACATGGCCGAAACAGCGACGATATCACAGAAATCCCTCCATTCAGTCCACAGTTTCAGTTTGTACGGTTTATTCATCAGACTTGCTCTCTTGTGTCATCCAGCTGCGGGGGAGGATGCCTTTGGTGCAGGCCAAACATTCTCTGCATCTGTGGCTGCAGCCAGAGACCTGAGGTAAGCGGAGGTTCAAGCTAATTATTATAATGTAAATGTCTATCCCACTGTCTAAATACACTCCCAACCAACGGATTATATATTTGGAATATTACTGGAGGATGAATTAACACACAAGAATATATGTTGATATCATTCAATATTCAATGGATGTAATAATACTTATTACATAACAATAACGACACTATAAGTACCTCTGAATCTCTCTGGGCTCAGCAGAATCTGCACTGCTCACACAAACACGTCCATGTTTTCATGTGGCAGGTACTTGTTATATGACGTGAACCCTCCGGAAGGGTTCAATTTGAGAAGAGACGTCTACATTCGAATGGCATCTTTAATAAAAACTTTAAGAAAAACTGGGGATGACTGGGTGCTTGTGCTTCCTCCGTGGGGACGCCTTTACCACTGGCAAACTCCAAACATCCACCAGACCCAAATCCCATGGGGAGAGTTTTTCAGTCTAACAAGTCTGCAGGCCAATGTCCCCGTCGTTGAATATGAAGAATTTATTTCAGGTCAGTTTGGGAATCAGTATTTTCATTTGCAACTTAATCACTATTTGAAAACTAAACATTTCAATTATTTGCAGAGAACGGGGGCCCTTTCATTGACGTAGTACTTGTTCTTCAAAACTATGCTGAAGGATGGACGGATGGTAAATGGGAAGAAAAGGTGGATGAGCGTCCATGCATCGAGAAGCTGATGTACAGCAAAGATAAACAGGGCTTCTACAGGTATTGCAACATATGAAATGCAGTTTAACTTGGACCAAACTGGGCTCCGAACACTACCCTGTGTTAAGCCCAGTGATCTTAATATGCCTTTTTTCGTCTGCCGCTCAAAGACAAAAATAAAACGTTCTTGTTGAAATGATGGACCTGCTGAGAAAGTCCAAACTATTTTTACACCCTCTTTCAAAATAATGTGTTACTATACATAGGTTTTATTATTTATTGTATGGTTTTAAAATAGTGGTCTAATGAACACTGTTGTTTTGGTTCTGAGGGGCTGGTTTTGGGGATTTGAAGAGACCAGAGCTCGACGTGTGACTTGTTTATCAGCTCAGGGACATGCTTCAATTATTGCGCCACTTCTTCAAAAAAACATAACAGCAACGTAAGTTATTTCTATTCTCTTTGTGTGTTATGGTTGATGTGTAGATATGCTACAATAAATGCATCCAAAATGATTGTATAGATCAGTGATGCTGGATCGTGCAGAAACGCTGCTTCATGACCATTATGCTGGAAAGGATTATTGGGATGTAAGTCACTTTTTAAAACATGTTCTGAGTGTAACCATTATATTATGTCAAAACACATACAATAATAATGTTTTTTCAGACTCGAAGAAGCATGGTTTTTGCCAAACACCTTCGTCTCATTGGAGATGACTTCAGGAAGACGCGCCTGAGCTCGACAGATGAAAAGGACAATACCGTTTATAATGAGAATTGGAAACTTATGAAGGTATGGACTCATTATTTAATGGTCTTTCTTTTCAGTGATGCATCTTTTCTCTTTTGACAAGAATAAGTTGGGCACAGCTAAAGGGGGGCCATATCTGGCTGTTCATCTACGAAGGAAAGACTTTATCTGGGGTCATAGAGAGGATGTTCCCAGCCTTAAAGGAGCAGTAAAACAAACACGAAACCTGATGAAGACGCATAAACTTGACCAAGTTTTTGTTGCAACTGATGCAGATGAAGGAGGTACATTTATGCTAGTGTGATGAAGATGAGGATGAGGATTATAACAATCTACCAAACAGATGTTCAATTTGAGTCTATGCTTGTTTTGCTCTGTAATGAACAGAAAACCAGGAGCTAAGACGACTTTTACCAGAAATGGTCCGATTTGAACCATCTGCAGAAGATTTAGATCTTTTCAAAGACGGTGGTGTGGCCATTATTGATCAATGGATCTGTGCTCATGCAAGGTATGTTTTTTTAGTTTAGTATTATTTATTTAAAACAGGAACATGTGCAATAAGGACATGTTGCTGTAGGATGTATTGCACCAAAGTCAGCCTTATTAAACAACCACAGACAAGACAACACATGTAAAGCAGAGACGTGACAGTGGGAAGAAACTATCCAAACACAAAAACAGATTCCACCTGAAGTCTGTCCTTTGTGTTTGTCATGAAAAGTACTGTCTGACAATCCTGACATATTTTAGCTCTGAATGTTGCTTGAAAAACCTGTTCCAAAGGTGCATCACTGCTGTTCTTTTGTCCTTTCTGTACAGGTTCTTTATAGGAACATCTGTGTCCACGTTTTCATTCCGAATCCATGAAGAAAGGGAAATCCTGGGTTTTGATCCAAAGACGACGTACAATCGTTTCTGTGGAGATAAAGAGAAAGACTGTGAACAGCCCACGCACTGGAAAGTAGTTTACTAATGTGATCCATTTCAGGTTTCACAAGTGCCAAAAGACAGTGTTACAGTTGTGTATTGTTTTCAGTGTTATTATTTACACACCCAACTATTTACTTCAGAAATATTTAGATTATATTTGGAGTAAATTGTGTAACAGTTATGGTACTTTAAAAATACTCTTAAGATGACAGAATCAGTGGTACATTGGATTGGAGCATTTTGAATGTGCCTCAAGAGACAGCTTCAAAAACATCTTAAACCCAGAAGATGATTTTAGATGTTCCTGATGTTGGTCATAAGTAAGTAATATTTATTTATATAGCGCCTTTCACAGTCACAAAGCGGTTTACAGTTGTGGGCATTAGTCTGTCACTCCACACAGAGATGGGAGGGGCCAGTACAGGACGCACATGCTAGACGAACACATGCTTTTAGTGGTAACTCCACTCAGAAAGGCCGGGATTTAAACCCAGGAGCTTCTTGCTGGGAAGCGAGAGTACTTTCCACGCAGCCACTGTGCCGCCCACATGTCATTCAAGGCAGTTAATAAAACACAAAATCACACACAAGACCTCAAAGATTACAGCTGAAGTATTTCCAGAGCAACCCTTAACTTTGTAAAACCAGTAACTGAGTCATTTAAACCCAACACTGATTATTGTGCCAAAATATTTAATAAAGTACCTTTTTCTCACCAATGTTCCCAAAATGATCTACACTGCCTTTGTATTTGTGTGGTCAAAGTTACAGTTCGTATACACACAATTCACGTCTACGCAGGAACGCGTAGACTACTGCCTAATATCCTTTTTATCATGTTTATTTTAAATTATTTCCCTGTGTAACATAAAAGTAAGAGAATGATTCAGCAGTATTGAAATGACAGACAAATGTGCCGCCCTCTGGAGGAGAAATATGAAGTGACATTGAGGATGAAGTCAGCCTCACCTCTGGCCCTAAAGCCCAACCCGGTCTGGAATGTGTAATCTGTCCGCACAATAAAACAAAACATTCCCCTGAGTAAGAGTAACAAAAATGTTGTTGTTGAAGACGTTATTACATGATATGAGCCGTATTTACAGTTTCCACAGTGTTACATACAGCGGCTCCCAAAGCACCTCCCTGAATGAGACTTCTCCCTACAGAGCTGTCGTTAAAGGAGACATCTTCAACAACAACTCCAGCTCGTGTAACAGGAGGCTGAACCTGTGTAAAGCTTATTTATCTAAAACAAATCAACATTTATTCTGCCCATTCCTAGACACTTGGACTTCTTGGAAAAACTTAACGAGCGAGTTGTGATTGGCTGCTTCTGTTAATGACAAACCTGTGTGGTTGTTATTTTGTTTAGTTTGGAGTTTTGAGCTGTGTACACATCTGCTCAAGAGACAGCTGTACGTTCTGTTAAACAAAAACATGAAGAGGAATCACTGAAACCTATATTCATTTCAAATATGTTTTAGTTAATCATCATAATCGTATTGTCTTGGTCTAAGTCCTACAAATAATCCCATGTCTGTGTAGATGGATAAATCACCTCCTTTTCATCTCGTTATGATTGTATGATTTCAGAATGAGTAATAGTAATCTTGTAATCTTTTTATTTATATACCGCCTTTTCACTGCACATCGGGAGTCTCAAAGCGGTTTACAATTGTTATTTTTTGGGATTGGGGTGCCAGTACAGGAGGCACATGCCAGACCTATTGTACATATTTTTAGTGGTAGGGGAAACCGGAGCACCCGGAGGAAACCTACGCAGACACGGGGAGAACATGCAAACTCCACTCAGAAAGGCCCTGGTCCAACCGGGATTTGAACCCAGGACCTTCTTGCTGAGAGGCGAGAGTGCTATCCACTCAGCCACCGTGCCGCCGTGAGCATTATGGGACAAGTCTAAAAGTTAGACTCAGACTTTATTGATCCACAAGCGATGTCACAGCTTGTTCAGTAATCCACGATAAAAATAACATTAAAGTAACAATCTGAAGATAATAATAAGATAATATTGTGAGACTAGAATAATATGGATAAAGGCGTATTACTGAAACATGTACGAGAGTTTAATACAGAATTATCTCTAAAAAGTATATCAGTGATCGCACAAGAGGATACAGGCATTGTTTATAATACTTTATTTCTTAATTTGTTTTGATTTTAGTAATGATTATGAGGACAATATATAATAATATTACGATATATGTATATATAAAAATAAAAGTTATAACATTTTTACTGAGTTATATTTTGTGTTGTGTGCTCCTCATTACTGTGACTCGTGATGCAACACTGACATTTCCCCGCACATACTGTACACACACACACACACACATCCTCTGAGGAGCACAGGGACTGGACTCCTGCTGGGACTCTGAGGAGCACAGGGACTGGCCTCCTGCTGGGACTCTGAGGAGCACAGGGACTGGCCTCCTGCTGGGACTCTGAGGAGCACAAGGACTGGACTCCTGCTGGGACTCTGAGGAGCACAGGGACTGGCCTCCTGCTGGGACTCTGAGGAGCACAGGGACTGGACTCTCGCTGGGACTCTGAGGAGCACAGGGACTGGACTCCTGCTGGGACTCTGAGGAGCACAGGGACTGGACTCTCGCTGGGACTCTGAGGAGCACAGGGACTGGACTCCTGCTGGGACTCTGAGGAGCACAGGGACTGGACTCTCGCTGGGACTCTGAGGAGCACAGGGACTGGACTCCTGCTGGGACTCTGAGGAGCACAGGGACTGGACTCTCGCTGGGACTCTGAGGAGCACAGGGACTGGACTCCTGCTGGGACTCTGAGGAGCACAGGGACTGGCCTCCTGCTGGGACTCTGAGGAGCACAGGGACTGGCCTCCTGCTGGGACTCTGAGGAGCACAAGGACTGGACTCCTGCTGGGACTCTGAGGAGCACAGGGACTGGCCTCCTGCTGGGACTCTGAGGAGCACAGGGACTGGACTCCTGCTGGGACTCTGAGGAGCACAGGGACTGGACTCTCGCTGGGACTCTGAGGAGCACAGGGACTGGCCTCCTGCTGGGACTCTGAGGAGCACAGGGACTGGACTCTCGCTGGGACTCTGAGGAGCACAGGGACTGGACTCCTGCTGGGACTCTGAGGAGCACAGGGACTGGACTCTCGCTGGGACTCTGAGGAGCACAGGGACTGGACTCCTGCTGGGACTCTGAGGAGCACAGGGACTGGACTCTCGCTGGGACTCTGAGGAGCACAGGGACTGGACTCCTGCTGGGACTCTGAGGAGCACAGGGACTGGACTCTCGCTGGGACTCTGAGGAGCACAGGGACTGGACTCCTGCTGGGACTCTGAGGAGCACAGGGACTGGCCTCCTGCTGGGACTCTGAGGAGCACAGGGACTGGACTCTCGCTGGGACTCTGAGGAGCACAGGGACTGGACTCCTGCTGGGACTCTGAGGAGCACAGGGACTGGACTCTCGCTGGGACTCTGAGGAGCACAGGGACTGGACTCTCGCTGGGACTCTGAGGAGCACAGGGACTGGACTCCTGCTGGGACTCTGAGGAGCACAGGGACTGGACTCCTGCTGGGACTCTGAGGAGCACAGGGACTGGACTCCTGTTAGTGCCCAGAGTCAGAACTAAACATGGGGAGGCTGCTTTTCAGATTCATGCTGCTAAAATCTGGAACAGTCTTCCTGAAGATGTGAGACAGGCCTCCTCTCTGACAATGTTTAAAACCAGGTTAAAGACAGTTCTGTTTAGCTGTGATACAACTGAGGGATTTAATATGTTTATCTTTCTTTTTAATGTTCATTTTCTTTTTAATTCTTTTGTCTTGTTCAGCACTTTGAGTTGCCTTGTGTATGAATTGTGTTATACAGATAAACTTGCCTTGAATAACATGTAACCGTCACATGATCTTGGTGTGTGTTAAATGTTTTCGTCACTGAGGTCGGTCCCTGGTGTTTTGGGCAGGTGCACTCCCTCCCTTTGTCCCTGTCTCTCTCACTCTCACGTTCTCTCTGAGGTTTGGCAAACGCGAGCTGCTGCTGTTATAACAAAACCGAGACACATTTACGACTAAATTCTGATTTTTGTTTTCTAACTTTTTGCGTGAGAGACTTAATGGAAATTACATGCGGCTAACGACGTCGCGGCGCAATGACTTTTCATCGCGCTGAAAACGTATTCAATCAGTTCAGAACAAGTTTGTACAGGTAAGACTTATTGTTTTTCTGCTATTTGGGTTTTATTAAATTATTTGACATGTAAATACAAGCTCGCAGTTGGGAATGGAAGAGTTTTGTTGTAAAGAAGTTGAAAATAATAATAATAAAAAACAACTAAAAAGTAAATTTCCTCTTGGTACAATTTTTAAGTTTCAATTTGCTTAAAAAGAGATGAAACTTTAATTTGTAATATACTAAAAGAGACTAGCCTGTCATATATTTTAATGACAAATGAACTTTGCTAAAGCCATTAGTTATGAGTTGTGTTGAGCCGATGCCAAGATTCACCCAAACGTTATTTTATACAATCATAGAAAGTTATTATTATTATTATTTTTATCCTCATCATTTGATTTCAGGGAGATTAAAGTTCTCGTTTCACTTTTTCATGTGTTAAAAGAATATTTGTTCATTTTCAGCCCTCATTCGTGATGGCCTTTCTCCGCCAACTTCAGCTTCTTCTGTGGAAGAATGGCCTCGGCACCATCCGGAGACCAGTAAGATATAAACACCTTTATATAACACAAATATTGACACTGTGACTTAGAACATTTATTTTAATTTTGCAATGAAAAGGTAGGCGTTTAAAAGTATTTTTTAATTTTTGTTTTACTTCTGCCTAATTTTTCTGAGCTCTATCGCACGTGCACAAACATTTTCATTTAATCTTGTATCAACTATGTGCATTTCTCTGAGTTTAAGTAAATAAGCATCTCTAAACTGAACTGAAATTGTGACGTAAGGGCAAAAAAAAACACTATTCTGGAAAAACGTTCTGTTATTGTTTCTTCATCTTCTCTTATGTATATGGTATATGACGTCTATAACCGTAGTTCAGTTCATGATGTTATTTCTTACAGGTGTGGTCTATCACTTTGATCTTGTGGCCCATTATCATCTTCATAATCATTGCTGTCACTCGCCACCAGTTTCCACCAGTTTTGAGGCAAACATGTAAGTATTTTATTATCACAGATCTCTTCCCTCCGGTATAAATACTTTGACTGTTTATGTTTGTTGTCCTACAGAGTGTACTTACTGTACCTTACCCACACACGCCGCGACAACAGTCTTTTCATATTGGTTTAATATTGACCTTACACAAACACTGCTTTTGTTCTGATTCATAAAGAAAAGAGAGTCTTACACACACGCTCCAGAACATTCCAATTTCACAATCAGTATAAAACGGAAAGTCAGACTTAAAGCTGGAGTACATTACTTTTCATTTTCCATAAAGATTTATTGAAAAAGAACATGTCTTGAATGTTATTAGAAAACATTTGGGTTTTTGAAGCATTCACACACTAATAATATCTGATTCAAACATGTGACAAAGTGCAAAAAATACTGACGGAACTGAACCACTTTGAGAGCAAGGATTTATCCTCACTGCTGTCAGACTGTACAATGAGTCAGTTTAAGTCTCTGCATTACGACTGAAAAAACCTGCACTACTATTGGGGCGGCACGGTGACCCTCTCGCCTCTCAGCAAGAAGGTTCTGGGTTCGAATCCCGGTCGGACCAGGGCCTTTCTGAGTGGAGTTTGCATGTTCTCCCTGTGTCTGCGTAGCTTTCCGTGGTACTGGGCGGCACGGTGGCTGAGTGGATAGCACTCTCGCCTCTCAGCAAGAAGGTCCTGGGTTCGAATCCCGGTTGGACCAGGGCCTTTCTGAGTGGAGTTTGCATGTTCTCCCCGGGTCTGCGTAGGTTTCCTCCGGGTGCTCCGGTTTCCCCTACCACTAAAAACATGTACAATAGTTCTGGCATGTGCCTCCTGTACTGGCCCCGCTCTCTGTGTGGAGTGAGAGACAAGTGCCCAAAAAAAATAAATAAAACAATTGTAAACCGCTTTGTGACTCTGTCTGTGAAAGGCGGTATATAAATAAACATTACTTACTTTTAAATTGCCACTTTTTATTGTACATAATATATCCTGCATTTAACATTTTGCACAATCAGGGTGTTTCTATCCATGGCAGATGTACATTTCTCCTTTTTGAGATCAGTAAAGTACTAATCTTATCTTTTATAAGTACCTCAGCTTTAAAACGTCTTAAATGTTATGTCCACCTCATCACAACGCAGCCCTGTTGAAATGATTGTAAACAGAACAGTCCAAAAATCTATTGTAATGTGTCTAATTGTCTGAGCAAAGATAATCATTTAGATTTTATTTGTATTTGTTCTGCCTTTGGGGAAACTCTTCCATCTCAGATCCTCTCATCTACAGATACAGGTGTAATACGATATCCTGAACGTCAACAAAAGTGATTGTGGCTTTTGTTCTCTCTCGTAAACCAGATCTTGTCGATGCCACTCCTTTCAGAGCGTCTGTTGTTATTTCATTGTACATTTTGAACAATGTGAAATGTTTCCATCAGGACCTGTCAAGCCAAGCCTTGTGACCAGTCTAATAGTTATTCTTATCTATCTAATGTATGAGTCAATAACCCCATTTCATCTGCTCCACTCTGTCCTCGTGAATCTAGAAGGAACAAAAATATAATGAATAATAATAACACTGGGTAACAAAAAAATATTCTTTGAAAATAGTCCAGGGTTTTCAGCAGAATTAGACTAATGTTGATGCTCTGAGTCCGAAAATGACCTTGGTGGGTTTAAGTCCACCATAAGACCTACTTCACGACTCCCACTGATGACTGCTGCCGTTGTGTCCTTGGGCAAGACACTTAACCCCACTTTGCCTGAAGCTCCCACTGAAAGATCTCAGCTCCTGTGGACTCCCCACCTGCAGGAGGATCAGTGAAGGGCTGGTGCTCTGACTGACACCCCCCCCGACCCAGAAATGGATTAAGGGGAAGAAAATGAATGGATGGATGGAGGTCAGGATCTGTTGCTACAGAAATATTTTTTTTAAATCGATTTTGCGTAAAAAACAAATTTCTGCGGATCATCAGCTGAGAAACCCTTGACGTTTTTTTCCGTTTTTCTCAAGAAATAAAAGTCAACGTATCCAAAGTCATTCAGTTTTTATTTACTCCATCAAATTTGATAAGCAGAATTCATAATAACGTAGACGTACATAATCCGTAACACTATGGCTGTATCTCACACAGTTGACCTGATAGAGACAAATGCATGTGATATTCTCAGAACACCAACATTAGTCTGGATCAGTTGAGAAACCCCTGACCATTTTTTGGTTGTCAACTTCTGTTATATCATCGCAGATATTTCCTAACTTTAACCTATTTTTTGTGGCTAAAGTATTTACTGCCTTGAAACACTTTGGGCCTTGGTTTTTAAGAAGCAGTTTCTAAAAGAGCACAAGGCCCGGTGCTTTTCTCGTGCCCTCTTTCATTCTGGTGTTTTTCTCTAGGTTACGTGGGACCTCGGAACCTGCCCAGCACCGGGTTCTTCCCGTTCCTCGAGACTCTCCTGTGCAACAGCGACAGCAACTGCCAAAACACGTCCCAATCGGCGCATCCTCACAGGAATAAAAGGTAGAATCTGAACAGTGGCTCGTGCTGCGTGGCCTTTAGGTGTTCTTCAGTGCATCAACATTAACACACACAAAAAGGTGTCGCATTTGTAGCTACCTCAGTTTAGATTATTTTGATTAGTGTAGGGATGTAGATATTATCCATACATCCATTCTTTTTCTTGCCCTTAATCCATTTCTGGGTTGGGGGGGTGGCAGTCAGAGCACCAGCCCCTCACTGATCCTCCTGCAGGTGCTGAGTCCACAGGAGCTGAGATCTTTCAGTGGGGGCTTCAGGCAAAGTGGGGTTAAGTGTCTTGCCCAAGGACACAACAACAGCAGTCATCAGTGGGAGTTGTGAAGTAGGTCTTACGGTGGGCTCGAACCCACAACCTTCAAGCCCAAAGGCCAATGCTCTACACACTGAGCTACTGTCGCCCAAATATTATTATTTTCAAAAATCATGATTATTCAGGTCTCTATGTAATTGTACAAGCTTAAAAATGATTATTTTAGATGAGATTAACACTTTTCCCACTTTATCTACTGTTCCTTTTTGCACAGTTAGCGCATTAGCATCAATTCACAAAGAGAGTTCAACTACTTTCTCTTTTACTTTTAAGTTTGTTCCATAAGCAATTTTATATGCTCAACAAACTACCTCCAATCACAGAGCAGCCAATGCCAAGACCGAAACTTTTCTGATAACAGACTTTTTCCAGTATTTTCTTTGGTGGGACAAAGTTATAATAGTTTTAAATCAGTCAAGAGAGTCGCAGTAGATAAAGAAATGCAATGTATTAATGAAAACTAAAAACTCTGACCGGTATCATCTGCACACGTCACTCAAGTTGAACAGTGTGATCATTAATCTCACACAATTATCATGTTATAAATGTCTGGTCGTCATATAAATCTTTCTTTGGTTCTGGTTTTACCCTCTGTCTTTGAGTCTGTGCCCACGCTATGGACAATATTTAGGGAATGTTTTGAAATCTGTGTCCTAATCTCTCACATTAGCTTTTAAACCTTCGCCTCGCACATGAAAGCTTTGAAACAGTTTGGTTTTATTTGGGTTTGTCCACACTAAAGGGCACAACAGTGTGACAAAACGCCAAACATTAGATTTTAATAATCAGAAGATATTTAATGTTTTTCATGTGTTCAAATCCCTCCTCTGTTCGTTAGAAGCTGCTAGAACAAAACTGTTTTATACTTTAGACAAGTTTCCTAAAGTGGCCCTGTTTATTTTATCCAATGTTGATGATTTGACGGAATGAGCTGAAGTTTGTGTATTTTCAGATCCACATTTGATTCAGAGATTCTTTTTTTTACACAAAGTAGAAACAAAGTGATTCTTTCATAGTCAACCAATTAAATGTGAAACCAGACCAGATTTTTTTTTTTCTCAAGTTTAATTTTTAGAGAAAAATGGACGGAAAAATCAAGTCTGTTACACATTTATAACGGGTCTTTTTTTTTTTTTTTAAACAATTCCTTTTTAAATGAAGTGATCTCCTGATGTTGTGTTAATGTTAATCTTGTGGAGTTCATCTGCCACTTTTTCAGACTGAGGACATTTTATTTTCTATGTAACCAGCGTCACAGTAGAACGGTCCAATCAGAGGCTGATCTGGTCGTTTAAAATGTCGCCTAAAATATATTTGTCAATCTTTTCTTTTGGTTTTATCCACACTATCTCTTCAATGTGTCTGTGTTTGAAATCTGTTTTCCAATCTATGAAAGTCATTTTAGTTTTTGAGTTATAACCTTTTAAAGTCCAGATACTTTGATTGACACTTTACTGTGAACACACTCGGCCTTCTTAAATAACTTGTATGTTTGCACGGTGTGTTCACATATAAAAAGCAAAATGACAACCTCAGAAAGCTAATGTCTATAATTGTTCTTTCTACTCTAAAATATAAACTAAAGAATCGTTTCAAAACAGGTTCAACTATTTAAGTAATCCAGGCTTTTTCTGTTCCCTCTCAACCTTCCTCACGCTGTCATAATTCACAACCAACACAGACTAAGCCACTTTTTCACAATTTTACAAGTCCTGTGCAATAACACAGCGTCAGCCATTTATAATCCGAGTTTGTTTAATTAGCTTTGCACTAATTGTTTTTCTGGGAAGGTCCATCTTGTCGTCTGAGTCGAAAAAAGTGGTACTTTCGTATCAGACAATGTATAATCTATGTCTTTTATAGAAGAACCAACTCACTTCTTGTACTAACAGTGTCTTTTGATTCACTCTCTGTCTCGCTCACAACATTGTATTTAAGAATATATATGAGGGAATAAAATAAATAACATGTTTTATTTTTCAGATCAACTGAAGAATCACCAGATTTTCCACTGTCAAAAATCATCGGAGAACTACGGCAATTTGCAAATTTGGAAAACACAGATCACGATCCAGCGGTGTTGTTAAATGTACTGTCTGGAAACTTTGGTGCGTCCTCTCCGGGACTCTCACTGGGAGCTTTGAATGAAACCCTCTTCGGAGATCATGTGAGAAAGTTTAATTCATTTGCATGGATATTGGTTTTAAAGCTACAGTACTTAACTTTCAAACCACTAATTATTAACCATAAAACAGCTTATCATCATGGCACAGCTCCTGACACATGTTTATTGACAGATGAGTGAAAAAGAACCCATCCTCTCTCACTCTGGTACCTGGCGAAAATGCCGGAGCAAGAGGAATGTTTAGCAAATGTAATCGCTGCAAAGATTGTGGCGCTACTCCCCACGGGCTCCGTTAGCGGCAAAGGAGATGGCTAAAGCTAGGCTAAATGCTAACGACTCACTCGGGCGCATTACATACGTCACAGTAAACTCAGATCCAATGGTTTCAATCTGCAAAAGAAGTTAACTCCTCCCACCTGTTCACGGAGTCAATGGAGCAAATACAGACCATAGTACAGAATGTAATTAGTACTATGGTGTGGTACGACCAGGCTAAGTTAGTTCAAACATTTATACTTTGTAGTAAAAATTAAAGTTAGCTACTGTACCTGCACGCTGTTGTTCAAATGTTTACAAATGATGCAGACTTTGTTTAATATTTAACCAAACTAATTTTTTCCCACAGCCAATCGCGAATTCAAATAAATCTGCCGGAAGACTGAAGTCTGCCTTCTGCACGATTGCTTTTCTTTTCATCAACAACACGTCCACGACAGACGCTGGTCCGGTCATCGCCTTCTGCACTTCTAACAACACTGTTTTCGAAGTGACCATCAACACACTCTACAAAGTAAGTCTGCCGGTATTTCCTCTTTGTATACAAAACAGGAGCGGCATTAGTCAGCTGACTTGATACACGGACAATCACACAGAAGAACTTATAACATGCAACAACTGTTTCCACTGGGACAAAGTTAGAATAGTTTTAAAGTATCAATGTGTAAGATTTTCATGTCCAGTCATCATTAAAGGGCCTAATCTGTCGTCATTAAAGGGCCTAATCTGTCGTCATTAAAGTAAGCTTTATTTATATATAGTAAGTAAGCTTTATTTATATACCGCCTTTCACAGACCAGAGTCACAAAGCGGTTTACAATTGTTATTTTTGGGCACTTGTCCTCTCACTCCACACAGAGATGGGAGCAGGGTCGCCAGTACAACTATTGTACATAGGTAAAGGGCCTAATCTGTCGTCATTAAAGGGCCTAATCTGTCGTCATTAAAGGGCCCTAATCTGTCATCATCAAAGGACCCTAATCTGTCATAATTAAAGGACCCTAATCTGTCATAATTAAAGGGCCCTAATCTGTCGTCATTAAAGGGCCTAATATGTCGTCATTAAAGGGCCCTAATCTGTCATCATTAAAGGGCCTAATATGTCGTCATTAAAGGGCCCTAATCTGTCATCATCAAAGGACCCTAATCTGTCATAATTAAAGGACCCTAATCTGTCATAATTAAAGGGCCCTAATCTGTCGTCATTAAAGGGCCTAATCTGTTGTCATTAAAGGGACCTAATCTGTCATCATTAAAGGGACCTAATCTGTCATCATTAAAGGGCCCTAATCTGTCATAATAATAAACTGTTCTTTTCCAATACTTCTTTAACTGATAACAGTAGTTCAGGGATATTTGAATTTCTAAATTACTTTTCCAGCCCCTAAATCTTGTTATTGTTTTCATTTCAATGTCCCGCCCTCCACTGCTTCGAGCTAATCTCACTGGTAAAGTACCATGTGGCGCAGAACTAAAAAAGGTCTTGTTATGATTCTCAAATCATTAACGACAAAACAAGGAATAAAGCCAGGATTTCTATCTTTGTGAAAAAGGTGTTGGTTATAGATTTGTTGTTGACAAAACTCTTGTCTATTCAGCTGTTATGGTCCCAGCTGGATTCGTCTGCATATCTGGCAACTAGGGGTGGGAACCTAAGGGTACCTCACGATACGATACACGATACAAAGCTCATGATAACAATAATATCACGATAACGATTATATCACGATATGACGATTATTGATATATTGGTCAGAAATATACCCTATGCCAATTTATGGTATAAATAAAAGAAAAAAGTTAAGTGAAAAAATACACTTTATTTCATGATAAATGGAATGGAGATGCGTAATGTAGCCTTGCCTAAAAAAAAAATGGAAAAAAAACCCAAAAACATTGAAAAAACAAACTAAAATCTAAATCGATCGCTGCAGTATCACTTTTGGCCACATTTTTCTTACTGCTCTTTTAAGTCAGTCAAATGACTTTCAAAAGGTAAATAAATGACTCTTTCCTGAATCATCAGCACACGTCGCTCAAATTGGATCAATGTGTAATGATTAATCTCACACAGTTTCGGTGTCATTTCCTTATAATCTTTGAGTCTGTGCCGACGCTATGGAAACTATTTAGGGCATGGTTTAAAAACGGTTTCCAAATCTCCTGCAGCTGAAAAAGCAGTGCATAAAAAATTTAATCTTGAATTGTCTTATTTTAGCCAGTGCTGTTTGATATTTTATAAAACCTGGAATTTCTGGAGGCGACAGTGGCTCAGTCGGTAGAGCACTGGTCTAATGGTTGTGGGTTCAAGTCCACCACAACCCATGTCACCTGCTCCCATTGATGTCTGCTGTCGTTGTGTCCCTGGGCAAGACACTTAACCCCACATTGCCTGAAGCCCCCGCTAAAAGACCGAGGCCATGTCTTCAATCACAGAGAAGCCATCGGGTCTGGGACTGGTGCTATGAGACTTGGGTGCAGCTCTGATCCCCCCCCCGACCCATTTCTGAAATTACTTGATATTGATTAGAAAAACAAAAATTAAGGGCCGGTGTGATATGATTGAGAGTGTAGTCTACAGAGAGGTTTGCGAACAGGGGAAATAAAAACTTAACCTAAACTAGACAAGAATAAAAAAAAATAAAAAAAGATGTTAAATGTAACCGTATGTCTAGTGAAATATGTTGTCTAATTAGTCATATATTTGCTATAAGTTTAATGTGTATTTTTCTGTTATTTTTAGGCAGTGAGAGAACTAGTCATGACCCAACAAATCCGACCAGAAGATCTGGGAAAGCTGGCAGAGAACATCTTGGAGTTGTTTGACCAGTTGCAAAAGGAACCTTCTCTGTGGGAATTCTTGCACGTTCTTCCGCAAATAGTCAATCCCACATCACCTGACCAACTGCTTGGCAACCTGAAGAAGCTGTTTGAAAGTCTACAATTGTAATTCATAACACATTTTTAACCAAGTACTGTATGCTCTTGATTATAGTAGTAGAAAAATAAATCTCCTAATTTTTGTTTTCAGGTTTTTAAATATCATTGAGCACAAATTTCCAGAAGTCAAAGCCAACATGTCATCAGTTCATCCGTTCATTGAGGCTGGCGTCAGTTTGACCGACTACATGCGAAATTGGCCTGGCAAAAGTGAGAATGACAAAAACGAGAACTCAAATCCAGATATATGGCAGTGTTTTATTGTTTTTAAGCTTTACTGATCGTGTTTCTTAATTTACCCAGATGTTAAGATTCGTTTGGGAGATGTGATGACGTCAAATGATTCGCTTTGCCAGATGATGGGAAACATGGAGATTTCACTGGATCAAGTAAGAGTTTGTGACTTTGAGTGATTTTTTTATATGTGTTTCAAGTGTATTAATAACATATTGAGGTTAAACACTTGAAAGTAAAACATAATGGTCATGTTTAATCTTTTTTGTGTTTCTTTCTAGGCCCTTGCTCTGTATTTTGACACGAAAATGGTCAGTGACTATGTGTGCCAGATCACATATAATCCAGTGCTAATGGCAGCGTGCGCGACTGGGACGGTGGAGAAATGCTTGAGCTCAACCAGCACTAACAAGTTGCTTCAACAGGTACTAACTGTTGTTAATTAAACTTTTATAGATTTTACTTCTGGTTTATTTACCTTTGCAATTGACTGTGCAATATGTGATTTAGAGCCAGCACGTGATTGTTATTATTGTAATGGCAAAAAAGCCCTAGCAACTGGGCTGTGGTGACTCCCAGGAAGCACCCAGGGACCGGGAATCCAATTAACCCGACGCTGTGGTGGACATGTTTTGATGAGTCAGTTTTTCTCTAGAGAGTTATAGCATTGACGGGAATATGCACACGAACTCCAGTACCGTAGAGCAGCCATTCCCAAAGTCAGTAGCACCGCGGCCCCTTTAATAATCTGACGGGTCTGCACGGCCCCCGAAATACTAACCAAGGAGATAACGATAAAATTAGGCTCTTCTCGTCATTTTATTTGGGGGAAATAGCCTCTGCTACAAACATGTAAATAACGCACCACATTTTGTAATACATAAATTATACAAAAATGATTACAATTTGATTATTCAAGTCAAATAATGAACACAAATATTTTAATTTTATGAACAAAATATTATTAATTTAACATACAATAATTATATAAAACATTTTTTTTAATGACCTCTCACGGCCCCCCTGCAGTTCCCTCGGACCCCACTTTGGGAGACGCTGCCGTAGAAGAGTGAATAGACCTTCTCGTTTGGGTGTGGCGTCTCTGATTGCCACCCCCCTGACCCAGAAATGGATTAAAGGGTAGAAAATGGATGGATGGGTTTGCATACTTATAGAGGATAATCCGAGCTCTTGTCCTGTCTCTAGCTCTAACAAGCAGAGAGGGGGTAAGAACTTGACAGATCTTCTCCACTGCTCTCCTGATGTGCTGGAGGCTCCTGCAGGAGACAGTTCCACACGGAGGTGGAGATGGTCAGGATTCTCCATGTTTAGAATCTGTACCTAACGGAGGCTGGGACCCTGGCTCTCTCAGCAGAGGAAGTAGAGAAGCTGAGTACTTTTGTTAACCAGTGAGACATAGTGTGCATGGTCCACGAGAGGTTCTCTGTAATGTGCAACCAAGGAACTCTGTGCTGGTCACCCTCGCCACAGCTTCTTGTTCTGGTAAAATACAACAGTAATTTACCTGATTATCTGTTCAAAACTGCCAGTACATTAAAGCAGCTGAAGTTAAATATAGTATAATTATACTTTAGACTTCATGAAAAAGATAAATGTCTAGTACTTTTTTCAAATATAACAATGGACTAGAGTTGAAATTACTGGTCCTGAAATACCATGACTTGCAGTTTGTAAAGTTTGTTCTATCAGACTCATGACAACTGGTCAATCTGGTATTTAGGCTTTAGTCTAAATCTTCATTCTCACACATTACTCATGTTTGTAATGTTCTTCTGAGTAATCCAAAGGTGCAGCTCTGTTTCTCGTTCTACACAGAACAACAGATTGTGTAATTACTCTGGGACTTTCCAGGAAACATAAAGGTCTTACCATACCATCCTATTCATTTCATTTGAGGAAAGAATAATTTACATGAGTTTGGCTAAGTCCAGGCAACATTTTTAATGCTTTGAAAATATTAGAAAAAATTGGATCGGTATCGGCAAAACAATATTTAAGAATCAGATCACAAAAAATCTGGATCGGTACATCCCTAGAATTCACTGTTGGTGCTTTTACTAAACTCATGGAATTCATTGTGTGGAGGAGGCAGAAGCAGGCGTGTCCAGTTTGTATGCAAAACACTTAGCCGACATGTAAAAGGGCCGCTGTATCTGCTTATTTTGCACACAGCTGGTTTCATACGAGCTTCTAATCCAATCACGCTTCAATCCAGCACTGACCAAACACATTACTTTTATGCAAATGTCCTTTTAATCCCTGTATAATCACCCTCTTCTGGAAAAATTGATACATTTATACACTTTTTATTTTATTTCACAGACTCTTTTGAAATGGAGCACTCTTGTGGCCCCTCACGACTTATCTCTGGCCAAAGGGCTGCTTCACAGTCTGATGGAACTTTTCGGAGGTTCTAGAATGTCGAGGGCAACACGCAGCCTTGAGGAACAAGCGCAAAACGTCGAGGAGGAACTGTAACTACTGCACACAATAATCACATGTGTTTCAGAAATGTGCGTTTTTTTTTAAATTGCGTATATGTATGTATGTATTTGTTTAGGTTTCTGGGAGTTGGAAAAGTTGTGAGGGAAATTCTCCAGATTTCTCCAGAAGCTACTGCCGTTGTCAACCAAATTCTTCAAGCTGGTTTTCAGTCAATGACATTTGCAACCAAAGCCATGGCCGTGTTAGAAGGTATTTTTTTGGCTTTTATTTTTATCTTTGAGGTAAAACAAACAGGGGATTATCAAATGGTGCAGTCCAAAAACCCCCCAAAACTGTTTATTCAAATTCAAATAACTTTCTTGATCCGTGAAGAACTGTTTTTACGGACAGAGCACCAGCGGGGGAACATCAAAACACAGAAACACACGTGTAAATACAGTAAAAGAGCAGAAATGCATTATTAAATACGTAAAACCGGTCTGCAAATCTGTATGTTTTAACGCTTTGACGAGAATAATGTGAAAATGATTAAAGTACAGAAGTATTTCCACTCATTCTAATCCTGCTGCTGTACTGTAAAAAGCAGTGCTATGGGTCACAGACTTGGCCAAGGCTTCGCACATTGTTCTTCCACTATTGTGTAACCTGAAGAGAGACCTATGGGAAAAATCACACCCTGTCTCTTGAGATGTTTCCCAGAAAGGAGATTTTGTCAATTGTCAAAGTATCTAACTCCAGTTCTTAGGTAACAGCATTTAGCCACTGATGTCGTGAGAAATCAGGCCATTTTTATAGATACAGTGATATTGGCGTAACATTCAAAGTTTGTGTTATTCTAAATTACTATTATTTTTTTTTACACAGGAGGCATGGACAGTTTATTGAAAGATGTGACGAGAATTAAAATGATTGTTCAAGTGCTGTCCACCGACCAACCCCAAAGCACCAGCTGGATGATTCAAGCGTTCAACAGTGTCTCGGAAATGATAGCAAAGGTAGAACAATATTATGATTATGCATGATTATTTTCAGGTAGATTAGTTCTTATTCCAAGCATGCACCAAAGTACAAGCCTTAAAACCCTTAATATTTTGTCTTTTTGGGTTTCCAGATATTTGCTGGCGAGTCCTTAACGTGTGACAACGTACTCAGTGAGTTTGAATGGCTGTTTTCCATTAAGACGATAAGACGTGAGTTATGGCAATCGTTCTTTTGTGAAAACACCACCACCATCGAACAGACTCTGCTCTCAGACTGGACGCCCTTGATAGAAAATGCAAGTTTATTTTTCCACATGCATATTTTTACCCGCAACGGAAAATATCTTATTCAAAATGTACTTCTCACAGGCCCTTGCCCTCTACCATACCCTTTCTGGCCACTCAAGTTACAACGTCACTCTTCCCATGATCCTCTCTGAGTGGCACGGGTTGTGGAACAGAAGTGAGCGTGTGGTGCAGCTCTCGCAGGAATGGGGCGGAGCCAACTGGACGTCATGGGTCCCGGCGAACAGCAGCTCTCATCTCCTGCTCGCATCTCTTCAAAATAGGTCTTTACAAAGCGTTGAATAACTTGCTTAGGCTCATTCCAACCCGCGGCACATGTTTTTTCTATTTAATAATCTTAATAATCTTTTCCATGTACTGTTTGTTGTTTAAAGATGCTTTACTCATGCTGTGATATGAGGAAGTCAGTAATTCAATGTAGATGAAATGATCAAACCTGTTAGAAACCTGTTATTATAAACTAATTGGAAGATGCTGTAGTTCTTGTTCAAGCAAAACTGGGATGGGCCGTCAGATCAGTATATCCTGATACTAACAGATTATGGTGACATGCGGTTTCACAGGTGTGTCCCACAGAATTAATTATGTTTCATGTTTTATATACATACAGTGTGGCAGTTTTCCTTGGGAAGTTGGGACAGAAGATTGTACATGAATGGCCTGAGGCAAAAAGCTACATGTACATGACTGACTGGATTTTACACTACGAACCCGGAGTGACAGCTTCACCCAACTGTGAGTGTTCAGACCAGTGTGGGCGGGTTTCGGCTCAAAAGTGGCCAAAATGACGTGCACTGACATGCTGCAATACCACCCCGGGCCTGTGGGGGTGGACCCAGAAGAAGAATTAGCCAATGCTAACATATAGCATTGGCAGACCTCTCAAAAACGTCTTTACAGGATGGACCAAAAGTTGTCTCTTGGCCCAAAGCTTCGTTCCACATGTGTGTCAATGCTGAGGGGGTGTTTTGGTCCACTCTAGTTTAGTCGCTGTGAATTTTTGAAGTCTCTCGTTCAAATGAATGGAGTCGCGCCGGCTGACACATGCGCAGATGCGTTTTGTCACAATTTTCTTGTGGGCGGGACCACTCGCGGCCATTTTGGATTGCTCCAGTAGAGCACATTTTTTGGCCCATTAGTTAGAACGGCGGAGTTAGGCGTGAATCTGTCCGTTAATATATACAGTCTATGGTTCAGACACTTCCTGCTTACATGATCAATCCAGTGTTTCAGTTCAAAATAGGCCCTGATTTATTTACTATTTTCCTAAAGAGGTAAACACAGGCATCTTGTATGTTTCATAAGTTTTTGCTACTGTATAATAGATATAAATGATATGAATTCAACAAAGATATATCCCATGTTTTCCCTTTCGTCTTCTTTTTGTTATTTTTTTATTAGGTTATACAAAGACATACAAAAAGTCGTACATACAAATATTGAGACAACATGGAACATGGAAGTAGGCAAATATACAAATACCTAAGTATACAAAATATAGAAAGCAGTTTTTGCAGTAAATGCAGGGGTTGAAAAACAGGGAAAGACTATATTTCTTTCCCCAGTGTGAGATCAATAAAATGTATCTTATCGTAAAGAAATCTTATGATATGTTGCAGGTTCAATGGATGTGGCAACCTTTGCTATTGAGTGTCATGGGAATTTAAATTGGGAAAAGTTTGTAAATGCACTTTTAAGAGCAGTTATGTCCCCGAATGAAGACCTCCTCATCAGGTAATTCATTTTTGCAAAGTTGTATTGAAAGAAACCAATTCCAATCTTCTTTCTCACAAACTTTTTTTTTGTGTCTCTAGTTGCCTCAAAGGAAGTGTCCAACTGCTGCAGCATGTCTACAGCAATTTCTTTAAATATGAAGCGGCCTCATTCTTACACAGGGAAGTTGAAGGAGGACACATGATTGCTGTTTACCTGAGTAACATGTTAAATCAACTCAATGAATTCGTATTCAGCCTGACAAAGCTTCCAGACGACGCCAACCCTCAACACATAATTCCTCTGTTTCAAAAGTTGCTGGAGTCCACGGGGTTAAAACCATTACTGCCTCTGATTCTGAGTGATAGCCCGGTCAATATATCACAAGTTCTTAAAGTTGCGTCCGAGCTGGGGAGATCCAACCAGGCCATGTTCACGTTTAATGAATCTGATCCTACAATGGCCGAACTGGAGAAATTGATTACGCAATTTCTCTCTATGGAGGGAAACCTTTCCATGTCTCTATATCTTGGCATGAGTAACAGCTTGCTTACATACTCCAGCCACTTCAGTCCTGAATATGTCGCCAAAATCAAAGAAGCCATACAGCCATTCACAAACCAAACTTCATCCGGTGTTGTTGAGGCAATACTGAGTGCTGTTGAGCTACTGGAGATAATAACAGATTCTTCCAACAGTGAACCAACTCATGTGATTTTAGGGTACCTCCGCCTGCTTCAAGACTTCGTAGCATCCCTTTTTCAGGTAAAAATGCTTGAGCAAGTCAGATTAGCAAATGGTCAATTGAGTCCAGCCATGGTCACACAGCTGCCTATTCTGTCGGATATGTTAAACTTTATAACTCCAGAGGGAATCATGAACCTCACTCGTGTTGGGCCAGTTGCAGCACAGCAGATAATTATACAGAAATACATCCAAACTCTTCCACCCCAACTGCGCCAACCAGCAATCGAGTTCCTTCATGACTTTGTTGATTTGCAAACTCAGCTTGTTGACTGTGAATCCGTTGAAGACTGTTTGTCCGGAACCTCTGAAGTGTTAGAATTTGTGGACAACATTTTAGGGATAACTCTTGACGCCAATGGAAATGCTAGCATCAACATTGCAGGAACCAAAACGTTTATGGGAAGAAAGGAGTACACACCTGTAGCTTCTGCTTTAATTCCACTACTGCTAAAGCAAAACGATGCTGCTCATGTGAGAAGTGCAAAAGAGATTTCAAAGCTTACATCAATTCTCATAAATTTGCAAAACATTACGGTTCGTGATGTACAAGACGCTCTAAGCCAGACCAACCTCACCATTGAAGAACTAAATGACTTTGTGGAGCAGCTGGGAGCTTTGGATGTCAATGACCTCCTTAAAAAGATCAACAAACTTCTCAGTGCTTCCAAATGTTTTGAGCAGCTAACATCCCCAGCCTTAGTCACTCAATGTGTTGGAGACATGGTTTACTCCGTCCATAGTTTTCTCATGCACTTTCCAGCTTTTCAAAATGAGACGTCAATCTTGTCAATGATCCCGGTTATAGTGAATAAAACTCTACAGGACATAATGAATTCCAATTTCAATAGACATCCACAAAATGTCATTGCAGAGACTTTGAACACTGCCCTGTCCAATGTCAAGATGGCTCTTCAACAAAACAACATGAGCAGCAGTGAGATCATGAATGAACTTGATGTCCTTCAGAGGGTCATAAACCTGATTGCAGACCCTGAACTTATGAAGATCCTCAACATCTCGATGGACGAGTTCTCCACCGGCCGTGCACCGCTGGAGATTATTCTCTGGTGTTTGAATAGACTTGAAAATGTGACCAGCATCAGCTCAACCTCTCAACTATTGAACCCAATTTTCCGCGTTGCACAAATGCAAGTTGCTTTGGCTTTAGCTCAAGTGGACCTGAACCAGTATATTCAACAGAAGATCACAAACCTCACTGAGAACCTTCAGTATCCAATAAATGAAGGAGGAGTTGGTCAAATTGCCAACGCAACAATTGAGATCATGCAACATATGATGACATTCTTAGTATTTAATTTGGAAACTCAAAATGCCCCATCGTATATTTTTGACTATGATGCTCCAATCAACATGACGTGCGTTAACGCGACTGTGCTGCAAATCAACAGCTTGCTAAAAATGCTACATCAGGCAAACATTGGCTCCTGGATCAATCCCAACAGGACTTCCAGAACTGTGAATGACATCTCTAATCTACTCCAAGCCACGATTCACATGTTTAATATTGACACCCAAGGTTATATCATTGCAATCGGCAATATCACCCAAGCTTTGACCAAGGCCGTCATGTTCTCAGAGCAACCCAATGGATTACAAAACGACAAATTCTTGGAGGCCATCTTGGAAGCAATCAGAAGTGCAACACAGTTGTTGATCCACCAAGGAGTCCCTGTGCCCTTAGAAAGTGTCCAGGATGTGGCCAGAAACATTGCCTGGTTGATTGTTTATCCAGAGCAGAGCTATGCACTGACCCTGAATACAACTCTCAACACAATCCATGGAATACGATCCATAATCCAAGTTCTGCCCCCAGAAGTGTCCTTTTATCTACACATTCCATTGAGAATAGCTGATGCTTATTTTCAGTCCGTTAAAACAGCGTCTGGACCTGATGGTTTGAATGAATTGTAAGTTTTAGAGCCACACAATCGTTTTGTGTGATGATGTGTGAAAACTAAAAATACATCTGGTTGATTTTGTAGAATTCTGAATATAATGTTCGAGGTTCAAAGCCTCCTGCCTCCAAACGACACAGCACAGTTCTATGTTGGTACCATTATCAACATCACCAAATCCATTCTACAGCCATCTCCTGGTAAGAAGCATCTTAGAAAAACTATCAGAGAAACAGCTACAACACTTAAAGTCTGTTCAGTTAATTACTGATGATTATTTATTATTACCAATGAAATGTTTCAGGAAACTCAAGTCTCTTGCCCATGGACTCGACAGAAGAAATCATGTCTTACATAATGACCAAGGTAAAAGAAAGTTGATAATCCATTACATCAATTACAAAAAATGTTTGCTCAGGGAATGATCTCGTTTGACTGAAAAATGTGCCAACATGGCGACCATGACACCAATCTGATTTAGCATTTCTAATGTTTAAATATTAAATAATATTCAGACTTTTCTACCTTAAATATGGGCCATACTTTTCCACATTAAACATAAAGTTAATCAAAGGCAATAATCAATTGAAACCTTTAATATTAAAAAGATTTTAGCTGTAGCCCTAAAACTATGACATTAATTTACCTTTAGACTTGCTTGGGAACCTTGCATAAAACCTTTGCTGAAAGTCATATTAATCAAGGTTCTCGTACAAAGTAGCTAAAATGATTAGGATGTTAGATTTAAGCAACATGTTTAGGATCATACACAGGGGAGTAGCACCAAATTCTGGGCCCTGGCTACAAACACATTCGATGGGCCCCCACTACTTTAATGCGTAATACACATAGACACACTTTAGAGGGCCCCTCCCTGCCTTGGGCCCTGGGTACTCGGTACCCTTTACAGTCCGACGCCTGCGATCACACATGCAGCTGACGCAGTAAAGACTTGTCGAGCAGGTTTGCTTTTCACGGATCATTTCCACTGCTTTTGATCTTTTGTCTGTTCAGCTTCTAGAAGTTTGGAATATGTTATGTCCTGTGGTTGTGGGCGAGTCCTGTTCACCTCCGTCATCGACACAAGGCTTTGCAGATCTGCCCATGGTCCTGGAAGAGTTGATAAATGGTCAAGCCAACAATGTCACATGGATGAAGTATGTGTTTATTTATATGTTCAAATATATATTCAAACAATAATAACGTGTTTTATTTTCCTGAAGGCTTCATCATGTAATCAGTAACATGACCCAAGCTTTAACCAAGGCCATCATGCTCGTTGGGCCGCCAAACGGATCACAGAGCGACCAACTGTTATCGGTCATCTTGGAAGCAATCAGAAGTGCAACACAGTTGTTGATCCACCAAGGAGTCCCTGTGCCCTTAGAGAGTGTCCAGGATGTGGCCAGAAACATTGCCTGGTTGATTGTTTATCCAGAGCAGAGCTATGCACTGACCCTGAATACAACTCTCAACACAATCCATGGAATACGATCCATAATCCAAGTTCTGCCCCCAGAAGTGTCCTTTTATCTACACATTCCATTAAGAATAGCTGATGCTTATTTTCAGTCCGTTAAAACAGCGTCTGGACCTGATGGTTTGAATGAATTGTAAGTTTTAGAGCCACACAATCGTTTTGTGTGATGATGTGTGAAAACTAAAAATACATCTGGTTGATTTTGTAGAATTCTGAATATAATGTTCGAGGTTCAAAGCCTCCTGCCTCCAAACGACACAGCACGGTTCTATGTTGGTACCATTATCAACATCACCAAATCCATTCTACAGCCATCTCCTGGTAAGAAGCATTCTGTCATAGACGTTTACACACTTAAACATTTGAAAACTATTCAGTTTATTCTTATTTGACTTTTACAAATACATTGTTTCAGAAAACTCAAGTGCCTTTCCCATGGATTCAGCAGAAGAAATGATATCCTACATTATGACCAAGGTAACCGCCGTAGATGCTCAATACTTTGAAGTCTTGTTGTGACCTTTGCTGAAAGTTTTCAGAAGTTCATTCACTGTAGAGTTCTGTGAATCAAACAATAGCTCTATCATTTGTCAAACATTGTCGAGCAGGTTTGCTTTTCACGGATCATTTCCACTGCTATTGATCTTTTGTCTGTTCAGCTTCTAGAAGTTTGGAATATGTTATGTCCTGTGGTTGTGGGCGAGTCCTGTTCACCTCCGTCATCGACACAAGGCTTTGCAGATCTGCCCATGGTCCTGGAAGAGTTGATAAATGGTCAAACCAACAATGTCACATGGATGAAGTATGTGTTTATCAATTCAAAAATCAAACTTTATTCTAATTATAACCTTTTTTTTCTCAAAGGCTTCATAATGTTGTTGACACCGCGATGACATTCATCGTCGTTCCAGAGTTGTCAAACAACATTTCGTGTTTAGTGGAAATGTTTGAAAAGTCAGCGTCAGAGGAAGTCCGAGAAATGGAAGCTCTGACGGGTGAGAACAGCTGAAGAATGCACATGTTATTTCTTATTTGTTTTACTAACTAACTGCCCTGTGCAATGGACACATGTAGTCCCTATGATTACACAACAGCAGGACAGTCACACAAATATACAGTCATCTTAAAACATTTTCCTTCCAGATCTGATACTCAGCCTCCAGACACCATTCATGAAGATATTGACAGAAATTACCCGCTCATTAAATGGAAGCCATTTCAACATGTCTGAAGTGTCAGAAAGATTGGAACAAGCTGTTGAGCAGACCATCATCATGGCGTTAGAAAAGGTGAGATTGTCAAAATTAAGAGATCCTTTATTGGTCCCACAGTGGGGAAATTCCAGTGTTGCATCACAAGTTATAGAAACAGTAGGAAAGAGGAGCACATGGCACAAGTTACCTGAACAATAGCAATGCTAATAAAAAGAAAACAAAAATTCTAACTCAATAAACATCAATACTAACATCAATAAAAGTATAAAATCTCTATCTTGAAAATTATAATAATAAAAAATTATACGTCTTACATTTGGCGAAATAAGAGGCAAGTATAAAGTACTGTGTAATCTAGTGCAAGCAAAGTGTAGTTATATGTTAGCATCTGTACATGTTAGCATCCGTACATGTTAGCATCTGTACATGTTAGCAGCAGTATGTGCCATTTGGCCTCGTCCACATGCCCAGGGAAGGTTTTTTCATTGATTCTGTGAAGCTGTGGACGCCCTGGAGAGACAGTGAAACGCCCTGGAGAGGCAGTGAAACGCCCTAGAGAGGCAGTGAAACGCCCTGGAGAGGCAGTGAAACGCCCTAGAGAGGCAGTGAAACGCCCTGGAGAGGCAGTGAAACGCCCTGGAGAGGCAGTGAAACGCCCTGGAGAGGCAGTGAAACGCCCTAGAGAGGCAGTGAAACGCCCTGGAGAGGCAGTGAAACGCCCGGGTCCACAGCTGTGATCAACACCACAAAACAGGGAAAACAATGCACAATAGATATGCTGTTTGTTGTTGAGAATAATCAAAATGAAGATGATACTAAGGCTGTGGTCACATGCACAGCCTAGAGACAGAGGAGCAGACTCTGGACCACAAGAGATGGCTCTAATCTCACAAGTTTTGAGTGTCGTGACCCTTTAAGCCATGGTACCTTTGATCTCAGAGGGACGGAATGTACTGTCAGTAGATCAAATAGATAAATGACAGGAGATTTAGAGTAATGAGAGGGTGAAATAGGATAATATCAACTCTGGAGCTGTACTTGCACTTGGTTCAGAAGTATTTTACAGATGTGTATTTTGTACTTTATATTTTTGAATGACAGAAATATCAGATGGATGGATATGTATTAAAGCAGTAATAATAACAAAAACAGGTAACGTGGCGAGGGACTGAGTTACTAGTGAATTATGATCAGAGACTAAATCAGTATTGTTGGAATATTAGAGGCCTCCTGCACCAGTTAAACTAAAATCAGTTTAGTATTGTTTCTGTTGCTAAATTAATACTTAAACAACTTAAACGTCAGAATGATTAGGTCTAGAAAGCACTTGTTTGTGTAAATTTCAAAGAGCAGTTAGGTCAAGGTTAGTATTTCTGAATAGTAGCAGTTCTGTATGAAAAGTGAGAAAAACTAGAGTTGTTATCAAGCAGGTGCACATCCAGTATTCAGCAGGTTTTTGTTATTTTAGTAGTTGTTAAAAATAGAGCTGTCTGCCACCATTATTAGTGAGTGAAAAGTCACATGACGTCAGAAGCTTCTTTCTCTCTTTCTTTCCAGAGTAATGGCACCCATAACTGCCAGGAAGTCCTGAAAATATGGGACCCAGTGAGAGAGGCCGCAGGATTAAGGCCTTCCGTCATGACCATGTGGTGTAACATCAGTCTGCTGTCTGTCATCGAGGCCTTTGGAGATCAGTCGGCCCTAACGAATGGCACTGTGAGTACTGCAAAAGATGACAGAATTAAAGACAAAAAAATGCAAAAATTTGGCTCAATGTATGTAAATTTGAGCACATTTTGACTGCCTTAAAACAAGATTTGCCAGTGGAACAAGAAAAATGGTCTTGTTTTAAAAAGATACAAGATATTTCTCTCTTGGAATGAGAAAATAAAGCAATAGTTCTTGAATCAAGTCAAAATTGCTTGTCTCATTGGCAAATCTCATTTTAAGACAGTCAGAATGAATTTAAGTCAAGTTAAAAAAACTCGATTCTAGCAATTATGATCTCATATTTGATCATTTTTTGCAGTGAAGAAATAATGCATAGTATAGAGTCTGAATATTGTGCATAATTCGTTTTGTATTGTTGTTGATGCTGTGTAGTGTTTAGAGTTTGATATGCAGATGGAAAGTAATGAATGTGAACTCTGCTGTACTGTACTGCATCTTGTTCTACTTTGTTTCATACACAAATATCTGCATGTTTTCTTAAAGTTTGACACCTTTGCAAATGACAATACGATGAACAACCGTCTGTTACACAAGAGACACACTAAAGACACACTAAAGACACAGTGGACGCGTCAGTCATGTGTTAAACAGGGTGCTTGCACAAGACCAGTATGGAATTTTGAGTTTTCCAGTTTTCTCAGACCTTGAAAAGTCTTGAATTTTGTGTGAAAGTCTTAATAAAGAAGGGAAAAAATGATTTGGTAGAATTTTACAGTGCGCTCAGAGGCTTTGTGAACTGAGACATAGGAAGGTAGGCTTTAAAACTATAATTGTACTAACTGGTCACGTTCTGTATTGGCCTGAATGATCCAACGCTAGCTTAGCTTAGCCTGGTCTGGCACATGTTTGTGATGTCACTGCTGAGGTCCATTGACACAGAGATAGCCGAGTGGTCAACAGAAATGGGTCGTAGCGTGTCTTCGAATTTATGGTCTTTTCGGTTTCTTTGGTCTTGGGGAAAAAAAATATCAGTTTTAAAAAAGTCTGGAGAAAGTCAAGCACCCTGGTTAAAGGAAAGCTCACGGACACAGCTCGTTTTCACTCATCAATATCAGGAAAGAGATTGAATGGTCTAATGTAGAGGACTTACTCTGCCGGGGTATAACTATCAGCAAGAAACAGAGTCGCACTAAAACTACATTTTTATCTGTAAATTGTTTATTTTAAGTGTATAAGATCCAGCAACAGGGTTAATTGGAAGTTACAGACCATGTATAAAAAGACAGGTTTTTGCAGAAAATTCATAACAACTGTCTGGGAGAAATTAGAGAATGGGAAAAGCAACCGTAAAACAAACACAGAAGGCTTTGATCTGCAGGTTAGCGGGAAAACTAATGTCTGTAAATGATAATAAATGTTAAATGGACCATATTTGATCCAAATCCTTCTCATTATGTAAGCTTCAAATTTCTATTGTATAACACATTCAAACTGAGATGCACCTGCAGTGTTGTTCCTCAGACTCACCACTGGATGGCAGCGTTGACACATTGAAGAACTTTGTCTTTGATGTGTGTCATTCCACAGTGCACAGAAATGGGAGCAATGAGTTCCCGCACTGTAGCTGCCAGGATTGTGATGTCCATCCGCTCTCTGTACGACTCCGATGTTGCTCAATCAGAAGCGATGGAGCAGTTCACGGAAGAATTCGAGTCTCTGCTCTCTGCGCTTGTCAGTCACCCTCTGAGCCAAACGGCAAAATACAATTTGAACATTCAGCTCCAAGCTCTGGCCACTCACAACAGGTGATTTTCACAGTGCAGTTTGCAAAGCACACAACAATCATGCTGCAAGAGGTTAAAATGTGTAATTGTTATGTTTGTATTTGCAGTTTGCAGTTTATTGAGCTGTTCTCAGATGAAGTGGATGAGATGTTCCCTTTCCTCAAACCGTACATGAAGGGAATGAGGAAAATGCTTAAACACATCTTGACTAATTCCTCCAGTGTGGAAGAGTCACCTGCTGAGTTTTTCAAAGAGTCCTCAATGATCCTACTGCACCAATTCAACATTTCATCAAAGGATTTCAATCAAATAATGACAGGCAATTTCTCCGACAAAGCGTGGGTAGATTTGGTGATAAGAGCTCTTCAGGCTATGATTAACATGAAGGTGTTTGGAGACGACCCGATGTTGTACCACACTCTGGATCAACTTTTGACTTTCAACGACACAAGAGAGATAATGTGGAAACTGGCGGACATGGTTTCTTGGTTCACGTCCACTGAAGCAAAAGGACAAGTCTTACTTATCCAGACTTTGACAAAATTCCAGGAATTTATCGGCCCGTTGTTGTCAGTCCTAAACATGATGGATATTGACCTGCCACCAAACCTGCAACTTATAGATGATTTAACTTACAACGCAAATTTATTCATTCAAAATCTATTCAGAGCTGACCTTTTATCTCTGTCTGATCCTTTCGAGATGAGGGACCATGCTCTGTCGAACCACAACGCCTCTAGAATCCGCCGGCGACGCGAAGTTTCATTTGTGCCAGTGAGCAGTCCCATGGATGATTTCATGACCCTCTTCACCATGGACTACCGCTCCCTTTGGACAGGACTGCAGGTTCCACCCACGGCCTCAGAAATACAAGAGACATTCCTGATGTTCTTTGACAATTCCGATCTTAGCTTTATTTTAAAAGAAGCAACAAAAGAATATGATTCGGACCTGGACGGGATCTCAAGCAGTGAAATCGTTGACTCGATGCTTAATTTGGCCAAGATTTTCCTGGAGAATGATTTGTAAGTTTTTGTTTACACTTTATTCCTGAAGATTATTGTTCACTTTGTATTAATTTGTGATTTTTTTAAATCTAGTGCATCTTTGAGTCTGTGGGTGCGAGCGATCAGCGCACTCCCTGACGGACACTCATCCATCTCTGTGATGAAAGATGTTGCTCATGCCATCGACGCAGAAAGTCCAGGTACAGCATCTTAATGAATATCATTCATTCAATACTATTGAGTTGCAGTAGCATAAAACATATATGTTTTTGGTATAGAATATAAATGTCTACTGTTTTAGACTATCTTTCTGTAGTGTATTTATATTTAAACATGCCAGACTTTTGTAAGAATATGATCCAATCACAAGAGACTTTATCTATGCTCCCTGTTCTCCTCCTCTCTTTACATTTATCATCAGCTGAGACCAATGCCATCTATTTACCTGACCTTCATAAATGCTTGTGGACCATGGCGTGTCTATAAATAGTTTTTCTATTGTACTTGGTTTGTTTATGTGATTAAAATGCTCCATAATTCATTGTGGAGATATGAGCAATAAGACTTCACAGTAGCTTAGCTCAGGCTCCCAAAGAGCCCAGGGCCATATGGCCCATCTCCAGCAGAAAGCCACTCAGCACCTTTTTAAATCTCATTAGCAAAGTAGAATTCAATCATTTATCCTGTCCGCCCTCTCTAAACATTTCCCCTCGCTCAGACAAGTGGACATCTATGACCCCCTTTAATTGGCGTCTGTGCTTATGTGATAAAGTTTTAATGCATGGGCTTTTATAAGCAGTTTCACTTCTGTGTAACCTCACGTACAGTCTTCAGCGCTCTCAGATGACTTGTAATTGCAGACACATCTTGCAGTAAGCACCCTTGCATTTTGCTTTCTGTCATAATTAGTCCTTAAACTGTGTGTACTCTATGGAGCTTGTCACCTGCTCATGTTTTTCACCCTCGTCTCTGTTGGCCCAGTCACAGTCGAGTTTCACTTGAAGTGCACCATTTGCTGCTGGGACCCCTGTAACGGTGCTAGTCATAATGAAGCCCAGTGGGACGTCATGTTATTATGTCACCTCACAGCGCTGCAATCCCACTTCCTAGGTCTGTCGAACTCTAATAACCTTCGCTCGCCCTTATCTCTCCTTCCCACTTTTCCCCTCAGAGATTCAGCGGCTCATGCAGGAGACGTTGGAAACAGTGAGTGCGCTGTTCCTGTCCGACCCCACAGAACTACAGGCCCTTCAGCTCCTTCAGCGTCTGGAAGAACAGGTTCCTATGTTTATTATATCATCAGTTTCTGGTACACAGACAACTCAAGGTGACAATAACAACTGAATCGTGAATGTCGATGAATTAATTATTAAACAGGCTCAAGAAAACATAGCAGTTTAAGAAATATTATAAAGTAGAGAGACCAAGACCAAATATGGATTCCTGATCCTTGTTCCATGCCATAACATTAAAGTGACAGTCTGGAACGCTAAATGAATTACAAATGTTAAGAATTGTGTTAAATTGACCTCCTGGCCTTAAATGTTGATATAAAATAAGTCATTTTATTAATTATAATATTACGGTAAGTCCCGCCTTCCCTTCTCTTAGCTATAGTTCAGAATCCACGGTGCCGTCCACGTTAACCAATCGAGTCATGCCAAGGGCTGTCAATCATCAGCGCTGATGCTCGCAGCTGCACATGCTCAGTTGTTTGTTTTCACGGAGCCTCAGAATCAAGTCTCCATCAGGCTCTGGAACTACATGAAAACTGAACAAACATCCGCGCTGAGTTACCCATCTATAATCCGCTGCAGATGTTCCTAAAATGTTCAGATCATGATAATAGCTACTTCCGGGTTTACATTAAAGTGATTGTCTGGAGTTTGTCAGAAAGAGAGAGAGAGAGGTGCTTGATTTGAAAAAAAAACAACGCAAGCTCCTCCCCCTTCCTTTCTGATTGGTCTACACCTACGTTTCCGTAACACTTTTAAATGTTAATCAGAGAACACATTATACATATACATTATTAATACACATGCACGGAGGTTTTCAGAATGATCTGTTAACGTTTTAATGAAAAAAATAATGTTTTAATGCACAAAAAAAGAGATCGCGGCAAACCAGGAAGTGCTATTATCATGAACTGCACATTATAGAAACATCTGCAGAGGATCTGATTATGGTTCAGTATGTAAATGATGATGATTGACAGCCCTTGGCATGACTCGATTGGTTAACGTGGACGGCATCGTGGATTCTGAACTATAGCTGAGAGCAGGGAAGGCGGGACTTGCCCCTAACATTAGAATTAATAAAATGACTTATTTTATATCAACATTTAAGGCCAGGAGGTCAATTTAACACATTTCCTAACATTTGTAATTCATTTAGAGTTACAGACTATCACTTTAAAACATTATTTTTGTCATGAAAACGTTCACAAATAATTCTGAAAACCTCCGTGCATGTGTATTAATAATGTATATGTATAATGTGTTCTCTGATTAACATTTCAAAATGTTACGGAAACTTAGGTGTAGACCAATCAGAAAGGAAGGGGGAGGAGCTTGCGTCGTTTTTTTCAAATCCTGTACCTCTCTCTTTTTTCTGACATCCTCCAGACAATTACTTTAAGTAACTAATAGACAAACAAACCCTGGTAATGCTGCATCTCTCCAGTGTGAATGAGGAATTATAACTTATTTCTAAATTCTTAACTCAGCGATCAACACATTTGAATCACTGCTTACTGTCTTTCTTCAGGTTGATTATTTTAATGACAATAAATATCAGTATTCTCTCATAATTGTTTTAAATTCATTTAGGTGTGCGATTTGGAGAGAACAAACGCTATTGGTCTGTTGGAACAAAGCTTCTCCGTGGAGCCTGGAGTTTTGTGTCAATCGATAGTTCCAGGAGTGAAGATCCTAGTTGAAGGTTTACTGTTTAACATGACCAGTCTGGTTCACAACATGGCGGAGGTATTCGTGGGAGATCCAAGTCTGTACAACCTCCAAATAAACTGGCATGCACTTTTTATTACCTCATTTTTATATATTTTCTGTGTATATAGTGTAATTCCAATATGACTGTTTTATCTGTTTTCAGGACATCTATGATAAGTGAGATTTTAGGGTTCAATATCAGCGCTTTAGGTGCCCTGAACATGACTAACTCTGCCCCAGGTAATTTACAGAGACTTAGTAAAATCAAAACACAAAATCCGTCTGAAGCTGGGATCTCATTGCTGCACATCTGTCTGTAATGTTGTAGTCGTGACGGTGGGAGAGATGGTGAGGAATAGAACAGCTTTCATGAGGGACCTGCAGACGTTTGGCTTTGCACCAGAAGTTGCCGATCAGCTTTCCAACTCCACTTTGCCGGACAACCTCCAGGTAAACGGGACACGCCCAGAATACCACAGGGAGAGGCATTTCCACGGCAACCACATCTGACATGCCTTTGATCCCTCTTTGTGAAGAATATAATCATTGTCTGCCTTTTTCTTTCATTCTTTTGAACAGATTTTGTGGTGGTTGGTCAATCTCGCCGGCTGTAACTCCTCAGCGCAAAGTGCCGTGACAGAGAGTGAGAAATCCATGTTTGAGACTTTCTGCAGACTGGGCCCAGAGCAACTGTACAACTTCACACTCCTCATGGTTCAGCACCTCAACACCGAGCAGTTCCTGTACAGAGTGAGTCCTTTACAGAGACTGAAGCCATTTCATTACAGCCCCTTCATCTAGAGCCTCTTATGCTAATTACTTAAACATCAGATTCTCAGATTTTCTCAAACTTAAGTCCTTAAATATGAATTGTGTAATGTCTGTTTGCTACTTCAGTGCAGGTCACATGGTATAGTATCATAATATCACAACACTTTTTCCAAAATGATTTCTTTATAATTGTATATGATTGCATATTATTAAAATACTTAGTTATGTATCAGTTATATTATGTATTTAAATGAAGGAATAGTTAAACCTTTACCTGTTATTGATGATTGTGAATCACTGAGCAGCAGAAAATGGCTTGTATCCGCTGCATCAGGCATGTCCAATCTCAGGCCCGGGGACCAAATGTGGCCCTCTTCCTTGCTAACCCAAAGTAGCCTTTAAGATCATAAACACAAGTTCACTGTGTCATCCATCCAACTTCAGCTCAGCCACTATAAACCTCATTCTAAAGCCTTATGTCTGGAATTCAGCTGTTGACTTTAGTTGCACATTCCATTTCATTTTATTGAGAGCCCCGTTAGCTCCTGACTTCTTGCAGGAGCTGTTCTACCTGAGGTCCCCTTCATTTTCTTTACAAATGTTTACAATATTACATAACCACCGCCACACAAACACACACAAGACAAACCAACAATGCATTACTCAAAAAAACATTTATAACAATCCCAAAATGTGTTGTTTTGGATGAAGCAGAATCTCAACCGAAAAATGCAACTCTCACAGAGTTTGTGTATTAACCAAAATTCATTCTGTGTGTAAACAAAACACCTTTAACTTCTTTTGAAAACATATTCTGCTGTTGTAATTCTGTAATGGCGTGATTTTTGATCGTGTCGCTTCTGTTAATGGTTCTACTGTAGCTGGTGAGATGGTAAACATGTCATTCAGCCAACTTCAGCACTGTTATAGATCATTTTAAAACAGTCAAGACAGTTTTTCAGCTCGTGACGTCGGGCCCTGGACTAGTCTCGAGAACTAAAGTGGCTCTCTGACTGGGGGTGGGCAAAGTATATCGTAGACAATGAAAGTCAATTTGAAGATATGCTTTTTTGTATTATCGCCCTTTTTATTTTTACATACATGTCACAATCAGAGAAGGAAAGATGCCCATTTGGTCTAATGTGTGCCTAAAAAGCCAATCACTGCTTTATTTGTACATTTCAGTAAATATTGAGCCTTTTTATGGATGTGTTCTTTCTGTGTTACTTGAATCTGATTTTTAATGTTATTATATGTGAGCGCATGTTTTGCTTTGTTATTTTTGTCCATATCGCCCACCCCTACCTCTGACTATAAGTTTGGACTCCCCTGTGCTGCATGATAAAAACACTAGCGCATGTTCTTTGTAGATGGTGCTGCCGGAGGAAGTCCAAAGAGTGATGGGCACCATGACACAAGTTGCGCTCTACGTGATGGACATGGTGCGGAAGCTGGGTCCGAACCTTGAAACATGGTTCTCATCTCTGGAAACCTTCAGCCTCTCAGCCAACAATGAGTTCCGCCAGGTAACCTTCCACATTATGCAGTTTGTGATGTGTTTTTCTTGAGTATTTTTTGATCATTAATCTTCAATCAGAGTGAACCGTGATCATTTTTGTTTTGTTTTTCTGCAGATGTCACGATCCCAGAGAAAAACCATCTCAAGCAAGGCCACTTTTGTCACCATCTCTCGTGCCCTGTGCAGAAACGGAATCGTAGCTCTGTTTGCAGCCACCAAAAATCCTCACTTCTCCGTTTCTCCACCTCCTTTTGAGAACATCCATCAGCGGCAAGAGATGATCGAAAGATTTAAGATCCCACATGATGCCAGTATGTATAAAGCAACCCATAAATGGCTATAATATTATATGTATATACCACATTGACATTGGAATGGTCTGATCCCAGGTTATAACTCTGTAGGGATCTGAGTACCGGAATATTGTTAGATTATGATCCTACATTTGGGGATTCATCAACTTTGCCCAAACTATTTTACAAATGAACACATGAAAAGGCCTCTCTTGTCTTGTGTATGAGATAATTCCCCTTAAGAGCGGAATGTATTATGGGAGCATGAAACTGATGGGTCGGAACAGGGCTTTTCAGAGTGGTGTTTGCATGTTCTCCCCGTGTCTACTCCGGTTTCTTCCTGGTGCTCTGGTGTCCCTGTTAAGTCAAGATAAACTCCACTTGTAGTTCTTTGCATTTTGTAGCAACCATACGCAGGTTCAGCGTACAAACTGGCCTCTCACGGTTCATATAGACAGGCAGCATTTGGGCAATACAAAGAGCGCTAGAGCCCCCTAGCTGTAGGGCATAGAAGGTGAACATTAAACCTAGCGCTAACACCCCGTACCACTAAAAACATGTACAATAGTTCAGGGTGAATGAGTGACAATGGATAGAAATTAGCTCAATGCTACAATCCGGAGAAGTGTGTTCATTTACTGCCATTGACGGATTTTGCCATTTTTGACTGGGGATTACAGGGGAACAAAACTAGCTAGAAACAAACTTATTTTTGCTGATGAAAGTAGACAGTCCAGTCTTTCAGAATCTGGTTTCATTACTCACATAGTCATAGCGCGCAATATTCTGTGGGTCTTGAGAATCAGTGAAATCATCAAAAGCGTAATTGTCTAAGACCGGTGATTTCTGTCACCCTCCCCTCTTTTTGACTGGGGATTACAGGACAACAGAAATAGCTAGAAACAATAATATTTTTTGCTGATGAAAGTAGACAGTCCAATCTTTCAGAATCTGGTTTTATATTTCACATAGTCATAGCGCACAATATTCTGTGGGTCTTGAAAGTCAGTGAAATCATCAAAAACGGCTGGCAGTCAATGAGTTAACATGCACTGTTCCGACCAAATATAAGATAACAAATAATAATACTAATTCAACAATGAGAAGAGCTGTGTAATGGGAGAAAAAAAAGGTTTCTTGAATGTGACCCTACAGTTCTTCAAGTTGATATATTGCATCATCATGTTATTCCGTTTTCCTTTTGTTCAATCAGTATTTTTTCTCTTCAGCCCCATTTTGCACCAACATGTACCTGGACATGGTCAACACCACCGGAGGAGCCATCGCATGGGCTTTCCTCAAACCAATGCTCATGGGAAAGATCCTCTTCACCCCCGACACTCCGCAGACCCGAGCTGTGATAACAAAGGTCTTTTTAGCTACTTTCATACTTTATCTGTGAAAGCACAAACATCCACAAAGCACATGGGCGGCACGGTGGCTGAGTGGACAGCAAGAAGGTCCTGGGTTCGAATCCCGGCCGGACCAGGGCCTTTCTGAGTGGAGTTTGCATGTTCTCCCCGTGTCTGCGTAGGTTTCCTCCGGGTACTCCGGTTTCCCCTACCACTAAAAATATGTCCAATAGGTCTGACATGCGCCTCCTGTACTGGTCCCATCTCTGTGTGGAGTGAGAGACAAATGCCCAAAAATTAACAATTGTAAACCTCTTTGTGACTCTGGTCTGTGAAAGGCGCTATATAAATAAACATTACTTACTTACTTACACTTCTATAAGCTCCCGATCTTTTATTCTACTGAAACCACATGTGACGTTCAGGGGTTTGTGAAGAACTCGCTCCCGAAACTTTACATATGTGATGCCATAGAAAAGATCAGGAGCTTTTGGAAACTGTTTTTGTAAAAGGAAAGACCTGTGGAGGTTATAGTTGTACCTAAACTCTGTGTCTGTATTTATTATTTAGCTCCCTGACCCAGCCGTGAGCCATTATGTTCATATAAAAACAAACTTACGGCTTGCCTCAGATTTGCTAAATGCTTCCACTGCTGTACTTTACTTTCTCAGGCCAACAGCACCTTGCAGCAGTTTGCAGATCTGAAACATTACTCCCAAGACTGGATTAAATCATCTGAGTACATCTCAAAGTCCACGACGATACTCACTCAGACATTGCCTTTGCTACAGGTATTACAAAAATCTCTCCATAAACTTTCATTTCATTTTTCTTGTCACACAGTTTGACGCAATTCATGATTTTAATTCCCCTCTACAGAATTCTCTTAGCAACGCATTTGTGAAGAATTTCATTGAAATGCAGACGGGAGTTAGTGTTGACTCAATGCAAGAGACGCTCAACAACTTCTGTAAGTGCATTTTTTTATCTAAAAGTCTTATGCCACGTTTTACTTTCTTTACTCTTCTCCCAACTGAATATACAATCCACAGTCTATCGTATTAAAAAATTGACGTGTTCAAAATCCCTTATAAAGATGACCAAGATTCAGAAAGTTAAATTCAAAAAGGTTTATTTCCCTAATACAAAAAGAATCTAAAACAGCTGTCCGGACCAAAAAGTATTTAATCCCTATCCTCTATATAAAGTGTGACGCTGGTTGGGCGCTCCACACAAAGTCACACGGCTAAACCCTGATCCGGACTAAAAAACTAACTTAACACATTCAAGCTATTCACTATAAGTAAATGTGCAAGGGGAAGGGGCGTGTCGTATCAGGCAGGTCTCGGGTCCAGGGTCCGGCCTCTTCCATCATGTCTCCTCCGTCTCGCCGGACCTTAAACAGAATCATTCACACACACTACCCCTCCCTAATTCTATAGAAATATTACTTCCTTGAGATAAGGCAGGAGGCTCTCAAGGCTGTCCCTCCAGATTCTGGGTCCATCTCCTTCTCCAAACAACGGAAAGGATTAGCAGAATCTAGGAATGCAGATCTTTGCCCCCCCCAGATTAACTATCATTAACTCATATTCTGCACTTTTGGACTACAAAGGGAGAAGGGGAGACCAGGTGTTTTTGCTTAGGAAAGAGACAGAGTTCAAATCAGGGTCAGTCAAATTCACATCTGCTTTTTAGTCTATATTTAATACAACATTTCCCAGAATAAATATCACAAATGTACGACGCCATCTCTGCTTGATACGATTATTTATTGCCATCATTATCCCCACAATGTCTGGGATTAAGATTAAGATGAAGAGATCCTTTATTGGTGCCACAGTGGGGAAATGTCAGTGTTGCATCACACGGTTATAGAACAATCTAAAACAAAATCTCCAACTCTAGCATCAATAACAAGTATAAAATCTCTATCTTGAAAATAGTAATATTAAAAAATATCTGTACATTAGCAGCAGTATGTTTACATCTGTACATTAGCAGCAGTATGTTTACATCTGTACATTAGCAGCTGTATGTTTACATCTGTGCATTAGCAGCAGTATGTTTACATCTGTACATTAGCAGCAGTATGTTTACATCTGTACATTAGCAGCAGTATGTTTACATCTGTACATTAGCAGCAGTATGTTTACATCTGTACATTAGCAGCAGTATGTTTACATCTGTACATTAGCAGCTGTATGTTTACATCTGTACATCAGCAGCAGTATGTTTACATCTGTACATTAGCAGCAGTATGTTAGCATCTGTACATTAGCAGCAGTATGTTAGCATCTGTACATTAGCAGCAGTATGTTAGCATCTGTACATTAGCAGCTGTATGTTTACACCTGTACATTAGCAGCTGTATGTTTACATCTGTACATTAGCAGCAGTATGTTAGCATCTGTACATTAGCAGCAGTATGTTTACATCTGTACATTAGCAGCAGTATGTTTACATCTGTACATTAGCAGCAGTATGTTTACATCTGTACATTAGCAGCAGTATGTTAGCATATGTACATTAGCAGCAGTATGTTTACATCTGTACATTAACAGCTGTATGTTTACATCTGTACATTAGCAGCAGTATGTTTACATCTGTACATTAGCAGCTGTATGTTTACATCTGTACATTAGCAGCAGTATGTTTACATCTGTGCATTAGCAGCAGTATGTTTACATCTGTACATCAGCAGCAGTATGTTTACATCTGTACATCAGCAGCAGTATGTTTACATCTGTACATTAGCAGCTGTATGTTAGCATATGTACATTAGCAGCTGTATGTTTACATCTGTACATTAGCAGCTGTATGTTTACATCTGTACATTAGCAGCTGTATGTTAGCATATGTACATTAGCAGCTGTATGTTTACATCTGTACATTAGCAGCAGTATGTTTACATCTGTACATTAGCAGCAGTATGTTTACATCTGTACATTAGCAGCTGTATGTTTACATCTGTGCATTAGCAGCAGTATGTTTACATCTGTACATTAGCAGCTGTATGTTAGCATATGTACATTAGCAGCTGTATGTTTACATCTGTACATTAGCAGCTGTATGTTTACATCTGTACATTAGCAGCTGTATGTTAGCATATGTACATTAGCAGCTGTATGTTTACATCTGTACATTAGCAGCAGTATGTTTACATCTGTACATTAGCAGCAGTATGTTTACATCTGTACATTAGCAGCTGTATGTTAGCATATGTACATTAGCAGCTGTATGTTTACATCTGTACATTAGCAGCTGTATGTTTACATCTGTACATCAGCAGCAGTATGTTTACATCTGTACATTAGCAGCTGTATGTTAGCATATGTACATTAGCAGCTGTATGTTTACATCTGTACATTAGCAGCTGTATGTTAGCATATGTACATTAGCAGCTGTATGTTAGCATATGTACATTAGCAGCTGTATGTTTATGTGTGTTTGTGGGGATAATGCACTTTGGGTGGCATTCTGTACAAACTGTGTAATATCATTAAAAGTTGATTGCTTGATTGATTGACTGTTTGATTGATTGATTGATTGACTGTTTGATTGATTGATTGATTGATTGATTGACTGTTTGATTGATTGATTGATTGACTGTTTGATTGATTGATTGATTGATTGACTGTTTGATTGATTGATTGATTGACTGTTTGATTGATTGATTGATTGATTGATTGACTGTTTGATTGATTGATTGATTGACTGTTTGATTGATTGATTGATTGATTGATTGACTGTTTGATTGATTGATTGATTGACTGTTTGATTGATTGATTGATTGATTGACTGTTTGATTGATTGATTGATTGACTGTTTGATTGATTGATTGATTGATTGATTGACTGTTTGATTGATTGATTGATTGATTGATTGACTGTTTGATTGATTGATTGATTGATTGACTGTTTGATTGATTGATTGATTGATTATGTTTTGCAGCCAACGTGACCGTGATGCTGGAGAAGAACAAAGACCTCGTGGGTCAGATCAACGCTCTGTCCACGCTGATGGTCGACATCTCCTCCTGCATCACTTTTGACCGTTACCAAGGTTACGACTCGGAAGAAGAGCTCAACCGAGAGGCCCAGGATCTGGCCAAGGATCGAGCTCTGTACGCCAGTGAGTGATGAATGCCTGCTTTTAGGGCTTTTGATAACATGCTATTTTGGTCTATTTATCTCCCCATGAATTGACTAATATCAATGTATACATGTTGAAACAGGGGCGACAGTAGCTCAGTTGGTAGAGCATTGGTCTTAAGGCCAGAAGGTTGTGGGTTCAATTCCCACCTCTGCACCTTCTCCACCGACTCCCACTGATGATTGCTGTCGTTGTGTCCTTGGGCAAGACACTTAACCCCACTTTGCCCAAAGCCCCCACTGAAAGATCAAGGCTGTGCTCACAGTCAGAGAGCAGCCGTCCTCCTGTGGACTCACCACCTGCAGAGGGTCAGTGAGGGGCTGGTGCTATGAGACTTGGGTGGCATCTCTGACTGCCACCCCCCTGACCCAGAAATGGATTAAAGGGAAGAAAATGGATGGATGGATGGACATGTTGAAACACATCAGGGCGGGGCAGACAACACAGGGGAACAGGAAGTCAAACTAAAGATGAAACCACAGAGAACAGAAGTCAAAACAAAACCAAGTGTTAAATATCTAATAATCCACACCATGGCTTGTGTATGAAGGCAAAGTAAGGCAGAACAGAAGTGTCTACTTGGAACATTGACACCTGTGTTTGCCCTATATTTTCCAGGTGTGATTTTCAAGCTGCCAAAAGGGTCAGACTCCAGAAAGCGGCGATCCGTCTCAAGCTCAACCCCGCTCCCTCCCAGAATGCACTACACCATCCGCATGCACATGGACAACGTGATGAGGACCGACCGTGTGCGAAACCCCTTCTTCTCCAAAGAGACGCACATCTCGGCCAGACAGACGCTGCGTTACAACCGGGGGTTCATCTACCTCCAGGAGAGCATCGACAGGGCCATCATCGAGATCCAGGCCAACAAGACGGTCACGGACACAGCTGTTCAGATTCAGCCTTTCCCCTACCCCTGTCACAAACGAGATGAGTGAGTTGTCTTTCATATTATTCATTTAATGTTAGAAGACATGAATTTGCAGCTAAAACATGCATGGTTTGTCACAAGCATTGATGTGGAACTATCTGTCATATCATTTTTATCACTTGGGACCATCAGTAAATAGTGTTTCTCCTGGTTTCACACAGTAATTGGCTCCACACTTCCATAATAGTTTTTTTCTTTCAGCCGGAGGTATCCATTCTGTATTCTGGACATTACAGTATGCTTTTAGCTACTGTATGATTGATTGGCTTTGAGTCATAACTTGAAAGATTTAGTGTTACAGTTGCAATTCCACCTCCGGCAATCATAGCGTTTACTTTCTACAACTAAATGTGATAATGATTTATTTTGCTTTACTAAGAAAAACTGAGGAAAACTGAGGAAAACCCACACCATAGTACAAATTACATTTAATACTGAGGTCTGGATTTGCTCCATTGACTCCGTTAACAGGTGGGAGGGGCTAACTCCTTATGCAGATTGAAACGATTGGATCTGAGTTTACCGTGTCGTATGTAGTGCGCCCGAGTCTGTTGTTAGCATTTAGCATTTAGCCTAACTTTAGCCATCTCCTTTGCCGCTAACGGAGCCCGTGGGGAGTAGCGTCACAATCTTGACCAGCGATTACATTTGCTAAACATTCCTCTTGCTCCGGCTTCAATTTCTTGATAGAACCAGACCGGATTATTTTACTATCGCATTCTTCGCCAAACTACAACCTGCCCGTTCGGCACAAACTCTTGACGTCACCGGCACCGACCTACAACACCCGCCTTCCGCGCTCCCCGAGTAGCCGGTTGAAATACAACCGATTGTAATCGCTAACACAGGGACCAGACCCAGACGCTACATGCAGTGAAATGATGATTGAGCGCAGTGTACGGATGGATAAGGCCAGGCTCGGGAAAACAGGAATTTGGATATTTTACAAAATTATAATATTTGCCTTGAGGTTGTTTTGAAAATTGTTGTAATTGTGAATTATGTATTGGATATTTGATCAGACCCTGAAACACAACAGCATGAGACATTTTGGCCCAAGTTCATGTATAGCGTGAATATCAATCAATCAATCAATCCTTTATTATCTCACAGATGGAGAAATTCAGTTCGATGAATTAACATCAAGGCCGGCCGCGTACTCTAATTTTCCGCGCTCCTTATGACAGTAACAGACACATCTTTCAACAAACATGGGAGAGACACGGTACATGTGGAAAACATGCGGGTCTTGTTAAAGGGAAGTCATCACTCTGGCCCGCCTCGTCCAATATAGCGCGTCAGAGGGGAGTGTGGGTGGGGGAGGTGGAGGGGAAGACCACCATAGACTGAAAAAGAGAGGGAGGCAGACATGTAGAAGGGGTGAGCAGAGCAGGAGCAGGGAGAGACACGTCTGACCTCGAGGAGAGCAGGAGGAGAATACAATACAATACAGTGTATTCTTGTATAGCCCTAGGTCACAACAGAAGTCATCTCAGAGACTTAACAAAACCATTGAAATCACCAACACAGGTCAGAGAATCAACAGTTAAAACACATGAAGAATATAAAGCACACACAGAAGAAAATGTCCATACATGTTGTAGAATGCTAAAGTGTCCTGATCAACACTAACTGTCCAACAAGACCCTCCTGCATCCACAAGGAACATTACCTTGACATTACCATGAAAACCAGTCAGTTTGATAAATATTACATTAGGTCAATGCTGATACCTCATGTATGAAGCCACTATCTCCTGCTCCCCTCTGACAAACTTTGAGATATGGTTATCCATGGACATCTCTCAGCTTGATTTATTACTCAGCAGCACAATATCTTTGCTAAAATATGACTTTGTTGCCTCAAATGCCTCTCACAGAATTACCCTCAAGCCCAGGCACTACCTAAGATGACTAAAAATAGACATTTATTTACAGTGATGATATGTGGATTGAAACATAGCTGTCATAATGGCCTGAATCTCTCGGCAGTATTCTCTGAATCACGGTGTGTCTGTCGCAGGAGGAGTGCCTCATCTTCCTCTTGTCCACACTGATTTGATGCTTTGCAGAATTGTGATTGACAGTTGCCTCTCTTGTATCCCCCAGGTTCCTGGAGGCGATCTCCTTCGTCTTTCCACTGTTGCTGATGATCGCCTGGGTGCTGTTCGTGGCTGATTTTGTGAAGAAACTGGTTCATGAGAGAGAAATGAAGCTGCATGAGGTCTGTCTGTAATGTCAACTAACTTATAACTTATTTTCATATCTTCTGTTCTCGATCATGTTGTGTCTCCATAATGTTAGTATGTATTGGGATTGACCTGGTTGCCATCATGGATCTATTATAATAACTGGATAGGGTATTACTAGCTTGGAGCTGCTCAGGGGATTCTTGCGGTACTGCAGACTGAACAAGACTAAATTCACGAGGGCTACCCAGAAATTTTCCCCATAGGACTAAATGTAAAACAGCTCGACCTCAGCTGACAGAGAACCTGACAGAGAACCTGACAGAGAACCTGACAGAGAACCTGACAGAGAACCTGACAGAGAACCTGACAGAGAACCTGACAGAGAACCTGACAGAGAACGAACCTGACAGAGAACCTGACAGAGAACCTGACAGAGAACCTGACAGAGAACCTGACAGAGACCCTGACAGAGAACGAACCTGACAGAGACCCTGACAGAGAACGAACCTGACAGAGAACCTGACAGAGAACCTGACAGAGAAAGAACCTGACAGAGACCCTGACAGAGAACGAACCTGACAGAGAACCTGACAGAGAACGAACCTGACAGAGAACCTGACAGAGAACAAACCTGACAGAGAACCTGACAGAGAACAAACCTGACAGAGAACCTGACAGAGAACGAACCTGACAGAGAACCTGACAGAGAACAAACCTGACAGAGAACCTGACAGAG